TGCTACCTTTCCAATTATGTACGGAACAACAGAACCATAAGCAAATACTATACTAACATATCAAACAGAGTAGGCCAGATAAAGTTTTTTTTTTTTTTTTTTTTTTTTTTTAATACTTTGGTAGATAGACAGAATGTATCATATGGCATTTTTCTGTTATCCACAGAACGGGAATCTAACAATGCACAAAATGTGACTTTAAAATAAATTCAACCTGCATTGGTATCAACAACAGACCAGTCCAATGAAAATCAGTGAGAGCTACAAAAGCTGCACTAACAGTAGTGACCAGTGCAAAAGAAACTGAGGTAATGTTAAAGTCCCCTATTTAAGGTTTCCCTATTTAAGGTTTGAAAGGGGACCTAAACTCTGTATTATTTGCAAAATTTCTTAAATGGCATGATGCTATAAACACCTATCTATTAAGCTGATAGCAGAATGTATGAAACATGTCGGCTAATTTAAATAAAGATTGTACCACAGGCAGCAATACTGAACAAGCAAGGAACAGCAAAAATGCTATAGCTGCCTTTCTAGCTCTAGTTTTTAATTCCTGAGCTTAACTGTTTAGGTCTCCACCTCTTTCACATTACAACAATCACCAAAGAGACTCTACATTCTGTAGACTTTGGAAAGCTGTGAATCTTGTCAATAAATAACATCTAAAAAGAACCCACTCATACATTTGAAAAAAGGGATTAGAGTTGTTTTAGCACTGAAACTAACTCCTGTGTAGCAGTGTGAACATCACTAAATTCCAAGGAAAACAACCTTATACCCAAAATTGAACTGCTGTACATGCTACACATGTATCTCCAGCAAAATATCACTATCTCTGATGACTTGTTGCTATCTAGCAAGTAATAAAGCAAGAAGGAGAAGGGAAATTTTGGCAAGGTATATGAAAATAAGCCTTTATGCTTACACAAAAAGAACAAATTCTTAAATGCCATACAGAGATAGGGAGTTTTAGGACATCAAAAATCCACACGGAAACTGGAAGATACTAAGTTTATCTAAGGTTAGTGGATTCTGATATTTTAGGAAGACTATCATTCCAAGCATACTGTTGGTGAAAATGATTCAGAGAGAAGTCATGAGAATTATACCAAGTCCAGGACACAGTCTTGCAGAAACAGATTTAGGAAACGATTAAAAAGAAAGGAGATATGTGGCTTGACTAGGGTCCATAATTATTTACATGTTGGAAGACTTCTAACCATAAAAGGCTCTTCAGCTTAGCAGATACAGGTACAATAATGCCCAGTAGCTATGAAGTTAGATAAGGTCAGATAAGTAATAAGACATGTTTAAGAAGTCAGGTGGTTAAGCACAGGACCAATTTTCCATTGCTTGCAGTCATTAAGCGAAAATACCTTTCTAAAAGGACATTCTTGCTCAAACCCAAGTATGGGCTTAATGCCAGAATGACTGGTGACATTACCATGGTCTGTGATTAAAACTGATAACCATATCAGTTTATCCTACACTATAGAAAACCTATGGATGTCTTAGCACTGCCTATATAATTTTCTGTAATGGTGAAGTCTGCAAGCAAAGAATTGGCTCTTGAGGCACTTCATGTTTCTGTTCAAGATGGTCAAGACAGAAAGCAGGTGTAGGCAAACAGTACAATTTGGAAATCCTCCAAATCTTGCCTGCCCTATTAAATGTTGGGCTAAGCTATGTAACAAGAAGAAATTGGCATCAAGATTTCAGATAGCTGTAACCCTTACCAGCAGATATCACACATCTTTTATGATGCAAACTTTAAGGGAAAAACCTCTGTAAGTCTAAAATGACAGAAAGATTTGCTTATACAAGGAAGCTACTGAAAAGTAAATTGAAGTGAAAATTTATCTCATAAAAACTATTTCATAGTAACAGTGTCTCTGGGGCACAAACAGCAGGTTCTGGCAGGGCAACAGGGAACTGCACTTACCCCAGAAGGCAACAGAGATCTGACCTATTCTTCACTCTGTCTTCACACTAAGAAGAAAAGTTGAACAATGACAAACAGCTACAGCTATAATGCAGTCTAGAGGCGCATACACTTAGCTCTTCTACACAGCAAAAGCCAGGAGCTTCATCTGTCTGTGCTGCTTAGATGCTCTGTTGATGGGAATTGGGGGGAAAAAACCAGCATCTGGTTTGAGGAAGTGAGCACAGGAAGCTGAAGAAGAAACTAGGCAGAGCCAATGTCCAGAACAAAGGCAGGGAAATAAAGCAGTGGTGAAATTTGGATGGCAGAATCCCCTAGAGCAGTGGGCAAGGGAAGCGAGGAAGGAGGGGAGCATTCACTGCAGAGCTGGCTGTGTGGCACAGCAGAGAGAACTCACACTGGTGTTGGACCAGGATGAAGCGTTTCAGAAATAATAGAGAGTCTCCAGGTTATTTCTGTTCAGCCTTCAGGATGAGTTTTGCAATATGCACACACAAAGTATCCCTGTGGTAGGTTCCATGACTTTAAAAATCCACAGCAAACTCTACTGTGAAACGTAAAAAACACATAAAATTTTGAAATCATGAGCGGAGGAATGTCTTGAAATACAAGGTTAGTAACCCTGAAAAATCAATCTGTTGCTAAGATAAAGAACTTGTTACCACTCCTCTGCATATACGAATTCAAAAAGTACTTATCAGCAACATGCAGGTAGTGAGGGAGATGGGCTCTGAAGCCTGCTCTGCAGCCCTGGTCCCTATACCTGACCAGAACGTGCTGTGGGCTCCTTTAAGGTTGTGTACATGGGTTTCCTTTCCGTGGGAGCTCATACAGCTCTGGACCTCCTCCCAAATCAGAACGGAGGCATGACCAAAGCACATACTGAGACTGCCAAGCTGGGAAATGAGCTTGGATCTCCCAGTACATGCAGAGGCATGGTGGTCATCTTGAGTTTAATAACTCACTCCAGAAGGAAGATAAGCCAATGTAAAAATCTGAACTGACTGATGCAACACTCAGTTCTTCCTCAAAGAGTTTAAAGGATGATCCCAACAGAAGCTTCTATTTAAAAGAAAACCACCATATACTTCTTAAAATTTGAAAAAAATTAAACCGCTAGTTCTGGCAGCAATCCAAGTCAGCATCTTTGTAATGTGCTGAAGACTTATTGGAACCCTTCCCATTGATTAAGTGGAACAGATGCTTGATTTTTTTGTTGTAGATCTATCTGGTCAGTGTTGTTCACATCTATAGTATATGCTTTCATTCATACCTACGTCTCTTGCCACGTAATATCCTGTAACCCTCCCCATCCATATCTCCCATTCACCTACTGTCCTTTTTATCTCCCATTCTGCCCTGGGGAAAGTCAGAGGTGACAGTGGGCTACTAGTGTAAGGCAGCTCAACTTAAGTTACTCATGGAGCCCCTGAAGTGCCAGCACTCCACTTCTTCCCACTCCTCTTCTTTTGCCCAGCTCTCTTCTGCCTCGGGGCTGCACCTGCTTTCAGCTCCCTTGAGCCAGAGGAATCTGTGCGTATAATGATCCCACCACCTTCTACACACTCCCAAATCTTGGGCAAGACCCATCCAAATCTTGTGGAAACAAGCTCTTTTACAAACCTGCTACAGGCATGGTCTAGTTTGTCTGCATAAAGTCAATTGTTTTAAACAAAGAAACATCCATTGCAGTCCAAGTCACAGGGCAAGGTTTGTGAACTTGCAAGAGGCATACAAACCAAACTGGCATGATTGATTTGTATTGTTCTGTTTGAGAGAAATATAAATATTGAAGAAAGCAAAAATGACAGAAATAATTTGTAAAATCAACCGTCCTTAGCACTTTCTTAAGACATTTCATAATACGTTCTTAACACTGCAAAATAACCTGTAATTGCTAATCTCTAAGTTAAATGTTATTTCTTTTTAATCTTTTTTTAACATTATCATGAAAACATACTCCTGAGTATTGGCATGGGTGTTGGAGATTGTAGCTAGTGGAACAGCTGCTGTATTTTTATCTAAGCAAGTATGAATGTGTCAGTGGGATTCACCCTTTCAGAAAGTACAGAGGTTGTAGGAGATATTCTGATTCAAGTTCACCTTACAGTTTGGCTTTGACCCATCAAAGCCTATATTCAGACCAGAATTTCCCAAGATCTGCAGGACTCGGGACTAAAGGTCAGAAAAGGTTAATCTGTGCCATTAATGTTTATGCAGCATAGTAGTTTGCCGTTAACATTAAAAGGGATTCATATTTTTAGTTTTTTTCTCTCCAAGCCTCATTCTGTTTTGAGATAACTCTTACTTTCAGCAAAAAGAAAAAAACCAAAACAAAACAAAAAAACAGAAAAAGGACTTCTCTGCAGCGTTGCCTCGATAGGGACATGACAGACTATACTTTTCACTATGTGGGACAGCCTTAGATACCTGTTATTTGAGCTCATTGATTTACTGGTATCGGCACAGACACGGAGAATTCATAGGAGGTCAAATGCATAGGAGGTGAGCGCTGTGCGTCTGCCCCTAGAAACCTGCCCTGCAACATGACTAACTTTGAGTGTCAAGGGCTTGTCATGCAAATAAAACACAGCTCATTCTTCAGAAGCTCTCTGCATATGAAGGATAGTTTCTGGCCATCATCACCTTCAAATATTCCCAAGCCCAGACCTAGGAAACATCCTTCACAGATGCCAAAAGCCATGGCTGCATCATTAGAAGCAGATGTTGTGCAGAGGTCAAGAGCAGCTTAGGTAAAATCTTACTCTTTGTGTGAACTTTAACTTTAACTCAAGCACCGTCTAAGCCGTGTAAAATACCATGACTACTCCTGTTAAATACAGTATATTGCATTGCAATAGGAAAACTAGAAATTACAAAAGAAACCATTTTCATATTCTAAAGAGGGGCATCAGATAGTATATAGATATTTGAGAAACAACCTTCTCGCCTGTTAAACACTGTTAACTAAATACTATATGCTGTCATCGAATATATTGAGGGAAAAGCCAGTATTAACAGTTGCCAAACATTTGTAAAAAATTACATAAATATTTACCTTTTGTGGAAGAGTTAAAAGTCTCTTGCTCTTCAATGAATTAAATGCACGGAATGATGGAAACAGAAAAAGAAATCAGCAAATTTAAAGTTAGATAAAGAAATGTGTTACATGTGACAATGGCATGTACAGTAGGCAGTACTCCAGCATATGTAAAAGTAATGTAGAAAATTAAAATGATAAACCATGATAAATAATAAAGCCTATGACTTTTTCTTTAAAATTAACAGGAATAATGAAGTTACCGAGAACCAGATTGTGGAGTCTTTAAGTATTCCGCTCGAGCAGTATTGTCATACCCAAATTTATGATTAACATTAAAATCTTAAAATTGCTTTAAGTATCACTCTCATTCCTGAACCACGTAATCCTCATTTAGATTCTGAAGCCTTTTCTGCAATAATGAGTGTTACAAATTTATTTTCTATTAACTGAAATCTGTAATACTCAATAACCACTGGACTACTGAAAATTGGTCTTTAAGGAAAACATAAAAGATTATGAGGTTTGAACTCATTTGCAAGAGTTAGCAATGCTGAGAAAAAATACTCTCCAGCGTGAGTAAAGATTCCACAAGCTGCCTCAAAATATGCAGAGCCACCTAAAATTTTCAAAATAAAACCAGAAATATGAAGACAAAACAAACAGTGCTAAAAGACTAACACCTAAAATTGAAATGACTTATTCTTTTTTCTTCTGCCACTCAGGTTTTATACTGATGGATCTGAAAAAAGGTTTTAACTGAAAGGGTTTGATCTTTTACCATTACTCAAGCCACACTGTCACTGCAATGACATTTAAATGATCAAGTACATATACACAGGATGGTTTTCACTAGCTATTCATTTTTTTAGGATCATAAGTTGGTTAAATATAAAAAGATATTTGCAACTCAAAGGTATTATTTGACAACATACTGATTTTCTGTACAAAATTCTGATTCTTACTTGTTAAAAGGAAACACTGGACATCAAAACACTTCATTCCTCTATGATGTGACTACCATTAAAGACTTGTACATGAGACACGTGAACTTTAGACAAGTAATCCCCATTCAGTACCAGTAGAGTCTTCAACGTAGCTTTCCCTCATGAAACACTAGCACACATGCACGCATGTACTTCACCCTGCATACAAGCCACGTACAAAACTTATGCAGCTTTTTCTAACATGAGCTAAGATACAGCAATACTTAATGCTGGTCACACTTTTGCTTTTCTAAAGGTCACTGCATAAGGCCTGTTACCATAAACAGATGCCACTGGAAACACATAGAAGCACACTAGCTCAGTTATGTTTACAGATACTCTTTACATGTAAATAGACTGCTGATTATCACAAACCTTACTTTCATTATAGAGCTTCTGAAATATGAAAACACATTGTCGAAGCTATGAAAAAGAAATCATGCTGTGAAGCGCCAAATAGAAGCAGATACAGGGAGAAAGACCTGGTTTGCATGAATTAGCTCTTAAAAATATTTTTTAGACTACAAACAATCATTGCACATTTATCTTGCTGGTTCATAAATTTCAATAGTACATAACATGTTTTTTCTTATTTATTTGCTAGATTTCCTAATATTATCTACCACAGCCAAAACAGAGTATAGAAAAATGCTACAAATCTTCAGCTTGTATTCCTTTCCTTGATCAACACAATGATTAACCATTATACAAAAGTGTAGAGACCCACCCTCAAATCCTATTCAAGCAAGAATTCCTATGATGTTTGATAGTTGCAATGACAGAGGATGGACTGAATAAAGATCACAGAAATATGCTTTATACAGAAGTATTATTTAAAAACCGTGCAACTACATAACAAAGTTATTATAGAAACAGCTGAAACGCAAAGTCAACACAGAATCCCTGCCCCTCTTAATGATGTGCGCTGTTCCACTCAAACATGATGCAAATTAAAAAAACACTGATGCAAATCTCTTACAGCTCGGCGCAGCATGACATATTGAGAACACACCATTGTCCTTATCATGGCTTAGAATTTCACTGCTTTAGTCACTGAGCCAAAATATCTTCATATTATTAGGTCCTTTTATAAAATTATCAGTTAAAACAAAGAAATAAAAAATGCTTCTTAAGTAGCATACGTTAGGGTAATGACTACTGAAGTGCAACTTTTTGAAAACACACAGAGACACATCTACACCAGCCTAGCTTTCAATATTCAAGCATCTCAAGACCTTTAGATGCAATAACATCCCACTGTGTCTTGCACTCTAGGAAATACTGCTGACGGGGTTTCAAAGGAAAGAAATACAACCATGTCTTCCTTGAATATCACTGGGATTAAAATAAAAATCACATTGCCTAAAAATTACAGAAGCCTACAATCTTAACTGTAACCACTTTAAAAAGTCTGCATGTACCGGCATTGCTAAAAATATTATTTAGTTAGAACTGTTCCAAGTGAAAACAACTACCCACCCCACACTGCAAAACTAGGCAAAGCTGCTATCCCCTTTAGAACATAATCACCAAGAAGCCTTTTCTTTTTTTTTTTACTACTGTGCATAATTATTCTCTTTTGAGGTTTTAGTCCTTAAATTGGACTTTTTCCTCTACATTTAAGATTTTTTTCTCTCTTCCTGATCAGTAGTATCAAACCCATTTCTGTAATGGAATAGGGACCACTACTTTGGTTGTGTCTGTAAGAATTACTTCTGTGAGGTTATTTTTAAATAGTGTCTACTAATAAGGACCTTTTAAAACTACCTTATTTTCTCACAAGTTGACTTTTTATGATTCTCTAACTGCTGACCAAAGCAGTGTCTAAGACAACATCATCTGGTAGAGAGAAGGAAGCAACCGTTTTTTCAGTTCTAAACTTGACAATGACAAAATGGAATGTCCGAGATGCAATGTCAGTCCTAGAACAAGCCTTATTAGCATGGATATGATCATTTACAATTGAGAGCTAAAGATTAAAGATTTAGAGTTAAAATATCACTCTGTTTCTCGAGATGAAAACCACTGCCAGTCTCTTGCTCCTTCATTAACTCTCATTTGTTTCATAATGAGAGCTTTCGAGAGTAATAAAATTACTTTACTGGATTCTTCTATGCCTTCTGAATATGCAAAGAGCAAACACAAAACCCCTTTTGATATACAGACATTCAATTTTTTACAGCAACCACTGTGATTTGTAAGACAGACACAGATTCATAGATGTATATATTTAGATGTGCATTCAACCCTCCTGACACAACAGAATTCCTGTAAAGTGTACAGAAATACTTTACTATAAAAATGGTACCTTATGGTTTATCATACAGGATTTCCTTGAAACACAGGATGTCAATACTGACCACCAAAAAGTAGCTTGCTTTATAAATGAAGAAAAGGCATTTTGAAATGCTCCCTTTAACATTTGTATATTGCACTAGATTTTGACATCGTTTATATCCATGGTGACTGTGAATTTAAATCATTAAGGACACAATTCAGTTCCAAGTACAGCTAATGGAAATCTTTTACAGACCTGACCACGCTTTGGGTTCAACCCTACATTAGGGTCAGATCACTTCTAGTCAATCCATTTGACCCCGATGCTCATTTGACAGGGATTAAAGAGGTGAAACTGATATTAAAATTTGATACTGTAAATCAGAGCAAATGCTATGGTCTTATAGCCTCACTGAATTTAATTTCCTACAGTAGTATAAAGTTTATACATATTATCATATTTATTTCAGAAGATACTGACAAAACCATTTAAAAATATTTTATAAAATCTATTCAATTTAGTACTTCTCTGCAAATACATTCTCAGCTTAAACAAAGTATTAAACATGGGTAAAATCAGAAAACCTCCCCTTCAAAGGGACAAGCCAGTCACTTAGACAAAACCAAAGTACTGTGTAGAGAGAGAAATCACTTTAGCCTTCGATTCCATGTGCCGTAATGCAGCTATATTGACACAGACGGTATGATATATAACAACAAAGTAAATGATATGTCGCATCCTACTTGTACATTTTATACATAAGACGCAAGCATATCAACAAGTGTAAATAAAAGTTCAGTGAAACAGCATTACTTTACAGGTATTCACAGTATCAACAACTTTCTAAACCTAGAGTAGCTTTAGCCTTCTGCTCAACTTTCATTTTTTCTTTTCACTTCTGTATACAACCCATCTCTACTCATTTTCATGGTAAGTTCTACATTCATTTCCAATGTCTTTAACAAAATATAAATTAGCATTTTATTCTCAACACACCAGTTATCAAGAACAGCAGAAAGATGACAGACAAACATCCAAAGGAAAGCCAACTTAAAATTAAATTAAAGGCTGATTCATCATTACATATTGTACCGAGTTCTGAAATTGCAGAAGAAACATGAAAGAAATTTGAAATTCATTACTTATTACGTTTCCCTAAGAGGCCCCCAACTTACTAATATGCAGAAATAGAAGATGTAAATGTAGTTTGTAACTAGTTTATAATCCAGACAGTCCTAGATTCATTACAAAATGAGAGGACTCGAATGTAAAGTTTAAAATTAATAAACCCCACTTGTATTAGTATATTAATCATTCAAAATAAACACATGTATAAAACAAGAATGCATTTTTCTATGTGTTAATTGAAGGTGTAGTATGCCATCACAGCTCAAAGCCATAAAATTAACGTAAGCTGATTGCATGTTAATGCAAGCCATCATACAAAAAAAATCCCATGATAATCTGTCATGATAAGAAGGTCATGGTCAGCAATACTATCTATTCAAGAAAGCAGTCTGCCAACAGTTCTATAAACCGCTACAATATTTCACCATTAGAAGCATTTCTATAATTTCCACGTAGAAGAAAGCGTTGTGTTACATGACAATCTCAGTTGTTGCTTGTAGTCAATGAGAAAACAGGCTTTTTAAACACAGACAAAAACCTGAATGTGCAAATATTATCCATTGTGCCATTTCATTTTATCATAATAGCTCATACTCTGTGTGCAGTATGTTGCTAGAAAAGGAAACAGCAATATTCATACCTATTTGATATTAGTATGTAAAAAACATCTTCCACAACCATTACGTCTACGTTGTCTTTTTCAGAAAAGAGCAGCACTCCTCTGCCTGATCAGTTTATTCTTAAGAAAGAAAGAGCTGATGACCTGTGCTTTCACATTTCCCATGGTGACTATTTTCATTCTTTACTCACTGAACTATGAACTCCAGAAGAAAAACAGATTTGTGATGTTTATTACTAATTTATGTTAATAATACATAACAATTAATATAAACTACAAAATAAGAAATGAGTAAGACTGGCAAAATGTTGTCAGAATCTTTGCCCCTGATTTCTTTAGCTGAATACAAACTAGATATGTGTTGGAAACTACCACGACTCTAATAGAAATTTAAAAGTAGACAAACATAAAAGGGTACTAGAAAATTAGGGCAATTAAACCATGCGTAATAATCCACTGGTCAAACTCTACTGGATTTCCCAGACTACAAATATGCTTTCATTCTCTTCTATTGCTTTATGAGTAGAATTATAGCATTGAACATGTAGTTATGAAAGTAGACTTTAAGTAAAGAAAAGTAAGAAATCAAAGAGTTTGAGCTATCATAAGCTCATTATTTGATACCTTGCTCTATACTGCCACTTCTTACTGGAACTTGCGGTAGCTGTCTTCCCCTGCGACTGCTGAAGGATGTGTCTGCAGGAGGAGACTGTGTGGGACTTCCTTGTTGATGCACTCTGCAAATGAAATTAAGATAAAAGTAAAATAACGCAAATGAAGAGAATTTTTATATTCTGAATTTTAAACACATATTAAGTTGCATATACTGAAGATGGGTTTGAAGAAGTTTGCATTTGGTGTATGCCATATGCACATACTCAGGTCTAGATACCCAGTTAACTTATAAGGCCTCACATTTAATCTCTCTACCTTCAACTAAGGAGAAATATTTTCCTTTGTTTTGTTGTTGGTTTTTTTTAATAAAGTACTAGTCAAAAACCACTGAATGAAAAATAGTTTTCTAAAACCCATTTATGATTATGACTCGCAATTTATATATGTTCTCCTGCACTGGTATAAGGGCAAAACAAAACATCACCTCTATATTTTATTAACTCTTGTATTCCCCTTGTGCTGATGCAATAATCGCACAAGGCCACAGAGAACTGGACAGCAAGTATCTGTTCCCATGGGATAACATGTTGTTTTACCCTGAACTCAGAGAAGTAAAAAGAACTTTAACCTTTGTTCTGGGGGGGGATTGCATGTGTGGGTGCGCACAAAGAATGAACAAGATTTTTAATAATCGTACCTATGTAAATATCCTAAACCCCTTTGGCTGAATTCTAGCTAGCAGTATTTCAGAGCACCTTGGGTACTTCATTTCTTACACATAGTTACAGCATCTGAGTGTAACACATCAAACACCTTTGGAATGCTGGTAAGTTTGCATTTAAAATAAGTATGGCCACCTCTAATAACTAGGGAAAAAGTTTAAGAAAGTAAAACAAAGATGAGAAGGAGCAGACCACTGAGGGGGAGAGCTTACTATTAAATGCCCTTGCCAGCTACAGTAATATCACACTCACTACAGTGGACAAGCGCTGTTTATCTACTACCCTAAGGCTGCAAGTAGATAATTTGCGATTTTGAGTAACACGTTTGTGGAAGTCCAAAATACTGTTGGCTTTCACAGTGCGTAGATCAACTGACTTTCTCTTAGCCTGTAAGCTCAGAGTTAGCTGTGTGAACAGCACATGATTTCCTGCACAATGTTTAGAGAAATACTTTGATAATTTTCATATGGATACAGAACAAAACACAACAATGGAAGGACGAAACACAGCCAATTTTTTACTCTTACATTCACTTAAGTATTTAAGTTCAACAGCAAGAAGTACCATCTGGATGGTGAAGATAGGTGGCGTAAAGGATATGGGAGAAGTGTAAATACCATGAAGAGAGGATAATCTACAGTGCCAGAATGAGTGAACGCGCCATGTATGCTCAGGAAAGTACAACACCACACTGACACCCGGGAGGCAGGACATGAAAGCTGTGCTGTACACGTAATAGCAACCTTGTCAGAAGTGGAGAAGGTGGCGCCGAACCTCCGGGCGCTAGGTGATGTACAGAGCATAAGGCTCTGATACTAGAGCGCTCACTCGACCTCGAGCGAGCGTGATGTTTTCCCCTAATGACTGGCTGTTCAGTCGTTCGTGGGGTTGGAAGTCCCCTTCTAGAAAGACATGGTAGCAGACCCCTAAAACATCAGGGCCAAAAAGAAACTGTTCAGTTGTTAGCTCCAGGCATACCTTCCCATGCCCCCCTCCATCAAAGAACATTGCAAATCCTGGCTGCAGGACCAGGGTTGACTTTTCAGATTGAAGTTATTAATTCTGAATGCAAATCCATTTTCAAAATGACAAACTGCAGAACACTCACCACTGCAGATACACGTGACCCTACTTGTGGAACTGTTGAACTGCACTGCATATAGCGGACAGTTGGCCAAAAACTCTAGCTGCATCTTAAACACAGCAAACACAAGCTAACAAAACATATGACGTCAGTACTAGCACAGGGTAGGCTATGAATACCTAGTTTTACCACAAAGCATTTCTAAACCATAGCTTTTATCCTTATTCAAAATATTAACTGGATTTCAATTAGTGTCCTAAAAAAGGACAATATGTAAGCACATATGTAATTCCCTTGGTTTCCCTAGGAGTTCGAAATAAGGAATCTAATTAAGTATCTTTCTGCTGTAAGCCCTAAAACAGAAATACAGTTCTGAAGGAAGTCTAATGAAAATATAATTAAAATATGCAGTAAAATGATTAATCGTGTTAGTATACTAAAGCATAATTATTAGTAGTTTAATAATTACATATACTGCAAGTATAAGATAACCTGAAACACTTCAAGTTTGGAGAGTTACAAAGTATTCTAACTGTGCCTTTTTACTCTTCCTTGGTTTCCCAACAGTGCAGCATTTTGGAAATGGTACTACTGTATCTTACTGTATCTGCTGTAATTTCAGAAATTTCAGTTTCCTGTGACATCATTTCATTGGGGGTTTTTTGGTTTGTTTGGTTGGGTTTTTTTTGGTTTTGGGTTTTTTTTTCAAATTTCTGCAGACTTATGAAGTCTCCCTTCAGACACCCAGCACAACTTTCTCACAAGATACAGACAAGTAACCAAGGGACTGTCTAGTTTATATGACTATCATACACTGAAAAGTCAACCTAAAAAAAAAAAAAAAAAAAAAAAAAAAAAAAAAAAAAAAAAAAAAGAGAGATAACATGTGGATGCCTACCAGGGATAACAAGCAGGTTTGGTTTCAAAGCCATTTCATCAGTAACAGTTTATGTGCAAGTCCAGTCACAATACAACAAAACAAGGATTCTGCTGCCCTTGCCTTATTCTCTCTCAAACCCTAACGCTTCTTTAGCTTAACTCCTGGTTTGCTGTGGTGATAACCGTAACATTCCTGCAGAGACTGATTCCCCTGATTCTATAAGATGCTTATGATAACAAAGATGAGCTGAGTTCTGAAAACGCCTGTTTCTCCATGCTGACTGTAAAAGTAAACCATGCCAACTATTGCATGCAACCAGCTTTTAAGCATATTTTATCAGATAACATCCATAAGGTAAATATGGATCCCACCCTGTGCCAGAAAGTGCTTGCCTGCTTTTACTATGAATGAATGCTCCAATCTAACAAAGTCATCATGTTCTCAGTTCTGATTTTTCTCATTTTAGAGGCTAAATGTCCTGGAATTTATCTGAAAGCCTAGCAAAGCACTAGGAGAGTCTGTCCTGCCATTACAGAACACTTTATCTGAGACTCAGAAACTCAACTCCTGCTCTTTCAGTAATACTCTTTTTATAGACCTGTCCCCTTCCACGAGAGAAAGACAGAAGATCTGCTTAACTAAAATGAAGACACATGAGGCTTAAGACTTGCATTAGCTGGGCTATTACACTGAGACAAATATGCTACTTGGGGTGCAAATGAAAAATAGAGCTAAAAGGGAAGTGGAGAAAAACTAGAATGGTGTTAAGGACTTGCCGGCCTAGGAGAAAGATCGGTTGCTGAAAGGAAGAAGTTTGCAAATGGCTGATCAGAATGAGACAAAAAGGAACAAGCACAGGAGACAAAAGCTAGTGTACGACTGAGGAAACGAGACAGAAGTGAGATAAGAAGTATGGAGAGGAGAGGAATTTGGGAGAGAAATGATACCTGGTGAGCAATAGACTGCAACGAGCACATACATGTGTATCATCTCCTGGTTCCTCAAAGAGGAAGGTAACACTGAAAGCAGCAAACCTGTTAATTCAATTGGCAATGGTCTACACGGGAATCCTACAGGTTCCAGCTCTGCCTGCACCCAAGAAAACTCAAATTCCTTTCTCTTCAGACTGATGCCTCAGTGGCACATACTAAATACAACATGCTGCCACTTATGAAACTATAAAGAAAAACTAAGAATGAGAGAGCAGCACCAATCTGGCACGTGCCTGGCACCGGGTCCTATGTAAAATACAGCAAGTACAGTTGAAGACTGCATGTATCATAACACATATGATAGGTAACCTCAGATCTGGCATTTCTGGGGTGATCAGTTAGGGCTGAAAGAAAACATTTTAGGATTGGGATGAACTAAGTTTTACCACAGTTTTTCTCATTCATACAAGCACAGAAAATGTAATCAGTTTTACTCCTTCAGAAGAGTTTACTGAATCCCATCTTGAAGGCTTATCACAGAGAATTAAGAGAATTCATAGGCTCTGTAAACTATCCTGAGAAGGTTTGCTTTTTCCCTTTTATGTACATTTCCTAAGCTATCACAATACATGGAGAACTTAATCTTACATAGCATGTTGAAAGGCTCTACAGAGAAGCTGATAGCATGTTGGTATGTTATTCCAGTAATCTGCTTAGCTAATATTAGACAAGATCTGCAAATTGCAAAATAAAGATCAAATCTAAGACAGAAATGGATATTTGAGGAAGAAATAGTCTTGAGTTATATTTGCCATTTGACAAGAAAATTAATTGCCTGTCCTATTATCAAAACTTTCTGGCACTAGTGCAACATTATATGATGAAATACAAAACTACAGCACTCGGACTTATTTAGGCATTTGTGTCTCGCATCTAGCCCTAATGAATCACTTTACGGAAACAGAAGCCTACACCATGTGCCATGGAGATGTAAAAATAAGCAGCGCAATTCAAGTTTCACTATGCTCTTGTTGCACTGGGTTCATCGCTGAACAGTTATCAAGAACTGTGAGTCCCTTGGACCTCAGACCCAGTGGCTCCCCTTACTCTTCATAAGTTAGAAAAAAAGGGGGGTAAAAATGGGTTTAGTGATCTCAATGGCAAAACTGTCCCTGGTTTAAACACAGCAAGGATTTCAGCCATTATTTAGGTAATTTCTTTGGTCTAAAGTGAAAAAGCAACTGGGCTGTTCTGACAACAGAATCATCAAAACTAAGAAAAGTGTAACCATTGCTTTTGGATCAGGAATGATAATCTGGGGCTTGAAGCAGTAAAATAAAATAAAAGCTCTGAAGTTTTTCTACACAATGTGCATTTTCATTGAAAAAAAAATTTGTCTGTGTTGTTCACAGAAGTTTTTCAACCCTCACAATGTAAACAGATGTACATTCCTCCTCTACTAATCAAGATAACATAAATCTGTTTCTGACAAAGGCAGGATCTCATCTCACCCCTCCTCACTGCTCTTATTTCAGCCAATATACAGGGTTTAATACTTAACTAGATGTACTGCCGACTAAATATATTTTTGTTTTTCACTTCTTAATAATTTGAATATATAACCCTATGCTACTGTAGCATCAAAGCTAAAAGTTACAATGATAATATAAGTACAGGAAAATTCAATGAATTCAAAGGTTAAAGACCCAGTGTTTATATTGACTTTTTGTAATGATAGATTATAAAATTTTCTATACATATTTAAATGCTTAACTTAACATTTTTATATTATAAATTGAAAGTAATTTGATCAGAGACATCTTGAATTATTAATCTGTGAATATATTTTTTTCATCCTCAAATTTATTGTAAAACAGACGAGATTTTTTGGAATAAGATCAGTGGTAAAGTGCAGAAAAGGTTTAGTCCCGTACTAATGAAATATACTACACGCTTCCAAATGTCATCTTACAGAGATCAAGATAGTGGCGATGGATCTCAGGTTTTGGTTTATGAAAGGGATGGACTGCTAGTCTTTACCATTGAGTTTATCTGCCATGATGGAGAATGCCAGCAAAATTCCATATGTATGCAACACAGCAAGCAGTGCTAATAATATAGATACAAAGTAAATAATACTGTAAATTATGACAACAGCTTTTGGTACTGTCACAGTCGTTCTACTTCAAAAGTCGTATTAGAGGTATATTCAAAAAAATGGAATCATATGGATTATAAGAGACGTTTACTCATCGATCAGCAATCCTACCTTTCTGTTTCAGTTGCGGAGCCTTTCCTAGTTTGTTTTTGGCTGCTATATCTTTCCACTTTCCTGGACTGCCTGTGAAATGACATGTCAGAAAAGAAATAAACAAAGAAGAAAAAGAATACAGAAATATGAAGATTATTTATTAATGTATTATAAAGGTAATAACAGAAATGGTTGACAGATGAAAAAGTGACAACTGTTGTCATGAACAGGCTGGTGAACTCCAGGTTTAAGACACATTGCACTGATTAGGTTTGACTGGGGCTGATGGTGCGAAAGTTAGGCGGTACCAAAACAGGGGAGTTAACATTGATCCTGACTGAACCTGTAGATAGCTCCCACTTCACAGTCTGTATTTGATTAGAAACAACACCTCCTCGTAGGCCTTTTAGTCATCTCTTAACAGCATGAAAACCCAAATGCAGAGTAGACAGCAGGAAAAAAATGTTGCAGAAAGCACCAGAAAATACTAATCAAATGTAAACTTTAAAAATTGCTTTTAAATCTAAAATCCAAAAGCAAAACAAATACTGCATCATATCAGACTTAAATAATGCTGTCACTATATTAATAAAAACTTGGCTTTTCAAAAATCTCATTGTATTAAAACTTGTTAAGGTTTTTTAGAAACAGTTTAAAACAATTCTATTTTTTTTTTCTAGTCAATATAAATAAGTCAGAAGTTTATTTCATTTCTTCACTCCTTTCCCACATAAATCTTTTATAGAATTCACCTGACATTTGGATAGTGAGGCACTAGTTACCTCTGACAACCTAAGCATTTACTTTGATAGTAAATAAAAACAATGAACAGTAATATGAGTCAATAAATGTAAGGAGGAAGGTAAAGCATGTTTCACCATTATGACCCAGGACTATAAATATACTATGAAAATCTCTGCAAGTCTTGTGTGTTCCAAAATTTTCTTTACTATCCACAGTAATGTGAGCATTTACACAACAGGATTTATGATTTTAAACCTTTGATAATCATGAATATATATCAGTTTTTCAGAATAAAAAGTGCATACGGTATTTCAGGAGTGGTCTAAAACAGGAAGCGATGATTATTCATTGTTAGATCAGAAATGTTGACAAACCCTAACCTGCATCTTATGCTGGTGCAAGAAACATATATAGCAACTTGCAACGATATAAGCAATGTCATATATTAAGCTATAAAAGAATTACTGTGGGCAAAACAAATAGATAAAAATAATATTTTAAAAATATATTTTCTTTTTAAACCTTTGTGGTTATAAAGAGTGATCCAGTGTCTGAACTGGAAGATACCTAGACAGCTGTAACACCAAATTATACCCAAAGAACATAATCACAGTGCATTTTCATGATTTGTACCCACTGTAATATTTGATGAGCATTATATTGTGATGCGGTATGCTCCACAACAAAGAAAATACTGCAGCATAATACAAAATGCTTTTTGCATGAGCAGAGGTCATAACCTGATGCTTTCCAGGTTTTAAAAGAAAATACTTTCTTACCAAAAAATAATATCTCGGATTAAAAGTTAAAAACCCTTTTGTCCTCAAACTATTTTCTCCAGATTTATTTTTTTTTTATATTCTCATTACTTTTTAATTTTTTTCTTTACCAGGCCAAATACAAGGTGGATACACAGGGTAACATATTTAATGCTGCAGCTTTACTTAAAAGCTAAGTATTTAAAATTATGGTTAGATCCACTGAATGCAGCACCATTATCACTCAAATGATGTCAGCCTTTTCATTTTCTGTTTGTCTGGGTATGGAGCTTATTTTTCTTTTACTCCTTATGTCACTTGCTTAGACTGTGACATTATGTGCAATGGAGAAAAAAAGCACATAGTGACTACTCCTTGTAGGATGGAAAAGCTGAGAGTAGGACATCCTTTCTTGTGAAAAGTGACAAAGTAATATATAGCACTGGTGAGCTGAATATACTTATTTCTCTGCTCTCTGGCTGTCCTTGTGAGCAGCACACATTAGATATACGTTTAAAAATTTAAAAATCACAATTTCCTTCCTGTTTCCTTCCTCTTGCTAAGAGGATGCTGTATACAATTCCATATAGCTCAACAGCCTACTACAGCACTTGCAGTCCTGACTCAGCTTGAGCACAGTGTGGGCATTGGCAGGTATGTATTTACAGGTAGGGGCGCTTTCATGCCCATATACAAGGTACGAAGAGTGCACTGGGGACAAGAACACTCAAGTCATACTCAAATTTACCTCTTAAATGTACTTTAGAGGGGATTAAATAGTATCTATGAACAATACATACATATACGTACTTATACATAAAAAGAGAAAAAAACTTCATATACAGAGGATATGAAGAATATACTATAACCAAGACCTCATTTATTTGGAACTATAATTTGAGTAAATAAGGATACCTCTGTGCTGCTCCAGGTTTAGCACTTAGGTGGTCTACACTGTCCTGTTTTGGAATGCAAGACTCCAGCGTCCTTGTTCTTCACAAAATTTGGAAACATGGATATGAATTTGGACAGAATGAGCAGAAACAGAGAGATGGTCACATGCAGTGAAGGTGGAGACATGCAGTCAAATATATAAACCAAAAGCATTAAGGCGCTATCTGATGAGAAAGGCTATATTCCTCATTTCCCCTTCCATTGATTTAATCCATACATTTTAAGGAAATGTTAAAATTTTTAGACATAATATCAACAACCTAAGATGCAATAAAGTATGAAAGAATGAAAGCCACAATAATATTGTTAAAAACCTTTATATTCTACATGCTGAACAGCAGCACTGTGGTTTAATAGTTGCCATTATCCTTCTTGAGAATTAATCTACAGTATTTTCATTAGATTAATACATAAACCTATGGAGAATATCTTCCCTAGTAATTTGAAACATGTGTATTTTGTCATATTGTGAAATTCTCCTGAAAACGCACATAAATTTCATAATTTCATATATTCTGATGAAAACTTCATATTCTGTTGCCAGCCAGTCTGCTACAGTAATAACTAACAACAATTCGATAGCAAATTAGAATAACTGACTCAGCTTTCTTTTAAAAATTCAAATAAAGTTCAGAATATTTCTTAAATTCTGTATTATTTTCATTTTTGCTGAAGCTGTTTAAGAACCTCAGAATTTGTTCGCAGCTTTCAATTTGGCATAAATATTATGAGCTTGTTGGTTTATTATTATTTTTTTATGGTACACATGGTAAAAAAAAAATTTTTTCTTGGTAAGGTGTATCAATGTAAGATTTTTTTTCAATATCAAATTTGGTTTTTAATGAGAAAACTCAGCAAAATTTGCAGTCCACTAATAATCCAGGGTATGTAATAAATTTGCATCTATACCTCCATTAGGGTGAGGAGCTGGTGAAATTTCTCTTGAAGGTCAAAAATCTACCAAGTGCCACATCAAATCACCAATCAATAAGGCCTTGTTACATATACAGACAAGCACTATATATTATTTTATATAGAGACAAGCTATTCACAGTTCATGTTCCAATGACCCATGTGGCTCAAAATATTTATCACTGTTGAGTGTAAACAAAATCTACACACAGAAATAGAATTATATTCATATCAAAATTAAAAATTACTATTCTTAAAGTGACAAAAAAAATTTTTGTAAAATTCAGTGTCAAACATTTAAAATGGTTTATTACTGGCTTGTACAAGAGACCTCAGTGGTTTGCAGTTGAGTCTGTTCGTTTACGTAGCCTTAAAGCCATCAAAAACGTCATGTTCAATACTTCCTGATTTTTCCTGAATATTTCTGAAAGGCTGGATCTACATGGTATGTGAGCTGGGAGGTCACAACTACTCTGAAGGCTTGGTAGCTCCTCGCACTCATTCCTAGCACTTCAATTCATGTCTTGCAAAACTGCATCCCTGATCAAGTCCCATAGTTGCTGGGAAGACGGGAAAGGATCATCCAGGCCATATCAGTCTGCCGCTGGCAGTGCACTACAGTTGGCTTCAGGATGACTCGTGGACAAGCATTCTTACAGATGCGTACATGACCACCAAAAGTTACTTCTCTTAACTGAAGGTAGATGAGAATTAATTTTTTAAAAGGCTTATTTTATCTGGTCTCGGTTATATGCTGAACCTATACGCAGACTTCTCAAAAAGAACAGTCTGAATAAAATTCCCACCTACCATTAACTGCTTTCATTCTCCTTGTTTTTATCATCACTTACAATTTCATAATTTTGCAGTTCTCCAGTTACCAGAAAGTCTTTCACTTTAGACAGACTTTCTAATTCTAATTTCTAATACAAAACCCAAAAAACCTCCCAGCAATGAAGCTATCAAATTCAAACCAAAAACTATTCTTTAAAACATCTTAAAGAAATACATGATACTAACCCAACACTTGTTAATTCCTAACACTGAAATAACATATAACCCATGTCTTCATCTTGTCAAGGTACATCTAGGAGTCACTTTTTCTGATATGGCAAGTGAACAAATTCCAGAATAACAGCAATCTTGCCAAGACCTTTACTAAAATTTAGGTTATGAATCATTATTGATAAATACAATGTTGCAAAAACTGGATTCAAACGATCAAAACTGGAAATAATGCGTAAGCCATACGTTTAAGAAATGTATTCAGAAATAGATCTTCTTGATTGCACCCTATATGCAAATTTGGCCAATTTGTAAGTGTCCTGGTTTCAGCTGGGATGTAGTTAACTGTCTTCCTAGTAGCTGGTACAGTGCTATGTTTTGAGTTCAGTATGTGAAGAATGTTGATAACACTGATGTTTTCAGTTGTTGCCCAGTAGTGTTTAGACTATAGTCAAGGATTTTTCAGCTTCTCATGCCCAGCCAGGGCACCTGACCCAACTGGCCAACGGGGTATTCCATACCATGTGACGTCATATCTAGTACAGGAACTGGGAAGTGGGGGTGGGGAATTGCCACTCGGGGACTAGCTGGGTGTTGGTCGGCGGGTGGTGAGCAATTGCCCTGCGCATCATTTGTACATTCCAATCCTTTTATTACTACTATTGTCATTTTATTAGTGTTATCATTGTCATTATTAGTTTCTTTCTTTTCTGTTCTATTAAACCGTTCTTATCTCAACCCAGGAGTTTTACTTCTTTTCCTGATTTTCTCCCCCATCCCACTGGATGGCGGGGGAGTGAGTGAGCGGCTGCGTGGTGCTTAGTTGCTGGCTGGGGTTAAACCACGACAGTAAGATAAATCTGGAATGTACTCAAATGAAGAGTAAGATGACATCTGTTGAAGTCAATTAATCTGTGAAAATACGATTTGAAAGCAGTGATAAACAGTTAGTCAGCTACCCCTGCTGATCCACCAGACCTTTATTCCCTGACACCCACTGCATCAGTTGTCAAATTGATACAAGCATGTCTTAAAAAAACATAAATTATTGAACTGAGTGGTGTTGGCCAACTGCTAAAGCTATGGGAAATAACCAGAATGAATGTAAACTTAAAGAGTATAAACCAAAGGTAAACCACCTTTGATTCCCTCACTGATACTCTCTCTACAGACAAGGTGCGCTATTATTTTGTATTGGGCATGCAATGCAAAGGAAGATCCTGGAACTGAGAGGCTGCAGCCAGTCATCAGGATTGAAGTTAGCCTAACCTCCACGTTCATCACTGACTGCATCACTGGGATTTGGTGACCAGATTACCTGCAAGACTTCCAAGCACAAGAAGGTACTCATTTCACTAAGAAAATTAGACTGCTGTTTCTCTGACTCAAAATCTTTCCCATAACAGATTCTATATCGTACAGATGCTTTATTGTGATATGTTTGCTAACAGGTATTAGATGATTTCAGTCTTACTCCACAAAACTTCAGCTGACATCAAAAGGCTTACAATTCTGCATTAAGAATGGCAGTACTTGGATGAAAACCTCCTTTCACTGATATGTGATAGGATTATGATTTAATTCTAATCATTTCAATGACAGCAAGATTTTATCCACTCTGATCCACTGAAGTCAAAGACAGTCTTGCCAGCGACTTGAAAAACGGGAAGCAAAATTACCTAAAAATGCCTAAAAGATACAAAGGACATTTGTAAATTATTAATAGCTGTCCCATCAAAGGGATGTGTTGGCAAAATTTCTAGAAATGCAGTATCTGTAAGGGGGGGACAATTTTGAAATAATGTTTCACAAATTTAATTTTGTAATTTATAATGCTGTCTTACTCAAATAGAAAAAGAAATGCTATCCAAACACAATTACACTCTTCCCACCTTGTATTAGTGAAATACATCCAGTATCAAGTAAACAAGACAAATTACAGTACAAATATAAGTACTGTGGATAGACTTTAGCAGAAGGTAAGTATTAGCATTATAGTAACTGAGTTTTATCCATATACCAGTCTTGCAGTTTTAAGTGCAACTTCATAAGAGTTTACACATGTATGGATTATTTACATGAACCATCTGTATCCTGTCATTTACTGTAAAATAAAAAAAACTGAAGGGAAAACTTTGAATTTGCATCTCAATAAGAATTATAATGTCTGCTTAAAAAAACCCCAGATCTATCTGGAAAAAAAATACCAAAAAAAAAAAATTACTACCGCCAAGGCAACGGAATACCAAAACTGATTTGAGCAGAAAGGTCATGACAAGAAAAAAACCAAACGTGCTTCTATTAATCACAGGTGGTATTCAGCATTTAAAAAAAAAAAAAAAAAAAAAAAATTTCAAGCACTGGTGTTTTTAACCAAAACCTACCTTCTTAGGAAAACATGCTCCATGGAGACCATCCTGATTTGGACAGAATTTACAAACAGCGCCAATTTTTACGTACATCAACTAGCAAGTGTTATCAAGACTTCCAACGTATCAATTTGTGGTTTTTTTTCCCTCTTAGAAACAGTTTGTTAAAAAAAGGAGAAAACCCCAATAAAATAAAAATAAGCACCTAGACAAGAATAGGCTGTACAACAAATATTTATCATATTATAAAGCACCACAGTGAAAACACCACCAACGTTTACAGAAGCAAGTAAAAACAGACTAAAGAACATTAACACAGATGATGTTCTGTTGTATTAGACATCTTATTTCATGGCTTGTGACCATTCAGGCAAAGAGAAGATTTGCAAAGACATTAATTCCTAGGTGCTTTATAACAGTTCAACAAAATGCAGAGATGGTATCTAAGCTGCTGTTTTATTTTGGGCTTCTGGAGGTTGTAAGTCTCTCTCTACTTATATGCATATTTTTAAATTTCAGTATACTCCTCCGAGAGTGCAAGATGCAGTAAGCCACTTTCCACTGGGAGGAGTTGACTAGTACCTGTCATCCTCCGGAGATGCATGCTGGATATGAATCCTGGGACTAGTAGGTCGTCTCCTCTCTAGGGAGGGGGACCATCTACCCCTGTTTGCCCGTTCAATAAAACAGGAAAAAAACAGGATATTTAGTTTGTGATAAAATTAAATATATGGGATTTGGGACTGGAAAAATACCCCAAAAAGTCATGAAAGTGTGTCATTTAATTATTTTTTTCTAGCAGTTTTCTAATCCCCAAGTATACTATTCTAATGGCTGTTAACTGCAGAAACATTACAGCTGAAACAAAGACAATGTGTGCCCAAAGATGCAGAATTTAGACCGATATAAATCTTTTACATAGTGTACCATTAAGTTTTCAAATATTCTCAAATGCTAGATTATCTAAAAACCTGTCATTCGCATAGAAAGTTGTAATTCCAAACTAGAAGAGCTTTTCGAAGACCATATGATGGTCATTTTCTGGCTGGTATTTTGTTAAGTTCATGTCTCCTAGCTCTTTGTACTGAAAAATGCATTCTCAATAAAAATATAGGACTATGAATTATAAGAAAAATTCTAAGGCATAAAGTGACCCTTTTCTGGAACACAATGAGAGATTAAAGGTAAATTAATTAGCTACAACTAAGCTACACACATTTGTGTACATGTACTGGAGTAATTTTTTTCATTTAAAAATATATATTGAAAGCATGTGCAGCCAGCTTCCTCTTCTGTTCGTTTCTCTGTATCCCTGCAGTACATGCCAGCAGATTATGTTGTATAATTAAATTTAACAAAAAGGACCTGAGCTGTGAATGAAAACTGGTGTCTTACATGATTTTTTTTTTAAAAAGCTCATTTAATTTAGAATGATACATACTATCCTATAGACTGGTGTTGCTTATTTTGTTGGGATGTTATGTGGTTGTAATAGTACAAGTGTACGTATAACAATTTACAAAATCAAAATATACTGATTAATGTACAAACAGCAAAATGTTTACATAAACTCTGCACAACTATCTAATATTTCACTTTCTGAGGCATCCTTCCAGTCCATGTAATAAGGAAAAGGGTTTGATTTATGGAACATGCAAATAACAAAGTTTTCAAGAAGATTAGCATCACTTGAACATTAAGGTAAAACTTTCAGAAGTTTCAAGAGCAAATAGGTTGTTAGTAGTTAGTTTCTTTTTCTCTCCAAAGCAAGAGTTAAAGAAAATGTTAATGCATCAGTGCACTCAAAGCCCTTAATATGCTGATATCCACTACAAATATTAAACAGCATTTGATAGAATTAACTGGGTCATGAAGTATGAACTTTGAGAACATGCTCTCTTTCACTGAATGTTGAATGACTGTGAGCCACAGTGCAACGTGGACAAACATGCAGTAACCTATTCCTTTACAGGGTTGAAAAGGACTGGAAACAATACGTCGCATACCTAATGCAAACAGTTATTTTACTGTATATTATTTTAAATGTAAATGGTGTTATTCAACATAACTGTTAAAGGCATGCAATATAAACACCTAACACTTCCGACTTACTAAAAAACCTTAGAAAAATCAACATGAAATCAGGACAGGTCTTAATTGGATCAAGTGACAGCTCCAACTTCTCTGTTATCTATTTATGAGGAGGTAACAAGTAACTGTTCGGCTTTGTACCTTCTTCAGGTGGTAGTGACCAGCTAATAGCAAACATCCTGAAGATCTTTGAAATGTTTTGATTCCTACTGCAGCAAAGCACCTCAGAACAAATCTAACACCACAGCTGCTGGGCTGCATTTTGCAGATGTGCTGACCCTGTTGTACATGAACTAATCCCTGGGCTGTGCTCTTTGGTTTTATTTGCTCAGATCTCCACTAACTAACCTCTCAGGACCAAAGCATACAAACAGTACCAATCTGTACAACTGCTCTTGCGCTAACTGCTAAAATACACAATTGCTTGCAACATAAGAAACTTAGAAGGCAAATAAAAGCCACACTAGATATTATTAACTATCCCTGCCTGTAATCTTATATCAATCCAGGGAAGATGCCGTTATGATGAGAAACCATTGCTGAATCAGTTCAGATACTGCACTTACATCTCATGCCTATGTGCTTTCCTAACTGGAGGCTGGGGGTTGCAAATTTCCTCATTCTAAAGAAATAGTGCATAATTTACAAGGAAAAAAAGCACAAAATTTGAGACACAGTGAAAAGGACAATAAAAAAAATCATAATAAAGGAAGTAGTAGCAGCAAAAACATTTTCAATGGCATTAGAGGATATTTATGACTATATTATAAAAGTAACATAGGCCTTGCAGATCATCACAGGAACTTCTACAATGCAATCATTTTGGGAAAAAAAAAAAAACAAAACAACAAAAAACCAAACAGCTTGGAATAAATGGGTAGGTGGGTGGGGAGAGAAAAAAAAAGGCGAGGAAAAAAAAAAGGCTGGCATGGTGCAACTGTATAGATCTATGCAGTAGGGGCTGGATATTTTTGAGTATCCTAGTGCATACTGCGCCAAAGAGAAATACATGACGGATTAAGTTCTGTACTAAACGATTCCATTTACCAAATAACTTTGGCAGGCCTGTGTCAGGGCAAGGTCAGTTTGCCAGTCAAGTTATACAGACTTTCCTTGCTCAAATGATGAGGCTTATAGCAGGAGAAAAGGAATGTCTTTTTGTTGTTGTTTTGGTTTAGTGCAACTAACAAGACTCATATATCCCAAATTTATATATACTGCTGAAAGTATTCTTCTGCTGGTATATGCGGGTCAACAAAATGACTGGCAAAGCAGCATCTTAAAAACCAGTGACTAGTCCAACCATTCCAAATGACAGGAATTATGTTGTATAGTTTAATGATCAAAACCATTTCCAACAAATCATTGTCACAGAGAAACAGGACTCTATTGTCCACCAGTTACACACAGCCAACACCAATTTGTTAAAAAAAGCTCAAGTGGACTATTTTAACTCTTGATTTCAAATTCAATCTAATTTATACCCTCTAAGACAAAAGATTGGATGGAATAAGTAGAAATAATTTTCCATAGGTGAGTACACTCATAATTTTGTTGAAGAAAATATACAATGCCACATTTAGAAGTCTATCTTTATATTTTGAGGTCTAAAAGTCTAAATTTTAAAATAAAATCTACAATTCCATTTGGGGGTGGGGGGAGAGGAAACACCATGAAAAGAACTAACAATACCTTTAACATAGGTCCCTCAAATATAATGATAATAAAGTGGTGCTGCATAGATTGGACTTCACAAAACCACGTGTTTCTCTTTGCTACAAGCAGGACCAACTCTACAACTGATGGGTGTTTGTCTAATCTCTTCTTAGACAATCTCCAGTAACGAAGCCAAAACAACCTTTTCCATATCATCTACTACAGTGTTTCATCATACTTGCTTTCAAAAAAGCTTTCCTACTGTTTAAGATGAACCTTACTGTATTTTAAGTCCCTTATTCTCATCTTGTCCAGCACAGGAACAAAATGCTTTCTGAATGTCCTGAACTTAATTCTATGTTCTTCAAACTGAAGTCTCCTCTATCATTACATGCAACTGATCGCTAACCTCACGTTGAAGTGTAAGCAGATACAGTCAACAGTGGACAATTAAATCTTCTAAAATTAGCTTACCCCAAACCAAAAATATTAATTTGGTGGGTTTTATACATTAAACATAACATCTTCCTCCAAAAATTGGGCTGTGTTGGAAAAACATCATCTATGTCGGAAGAAAAAATTTAAAAAAAAGTATGTCCTAAATCCTGTGTCAGAGCCACACAGGTCTTATTTCCAACAAAACCATCGTGGAAAATTTGAATATGACTTTCTTAAAAAAGAGTTTTCTGCACCCCCATGAAGGATCCCAATTCAAAAGCACCTATTTAGGACTTCTAAAAGAAATAAGTAAAAAGTTTCATAGTGATGGACAATTCTTCTGGATCAGGCTCACAGATGATTTGGTAAAACCATGTGTTTAGTAGCAGTAGAGGCAATTAACACAGACTAAACACTTTTCTTTACAATGAGCTGATGAAAAATGCTGCAGATTCAGTGCAGTGCCTATAGGACAGAGGTTGCTGGGCATAAATTAGAAAGACACAATAGAACTAGTTAACATCAGTGACAGGTGTAGTTTTGAGTATAATATTTTAATTAGATAGTTTACAACTGCCAGTTACTGTTTCACTGAATATTCAAATGATGGGTGGCATCTTGAAATAAAAGTTATTACATTAAATAGTTGCTTGTAGATGAATACAGCTGTATATATCTACACACTTAGTTCTTAATATGAGGCTATGATATTTTTTTAAAAAAATCTAGAATGATAACCTGTATTTCATTCTGAGTGGCCTTATTTCTGTCATAATTTTTTGGGTTTTTTTTAATAACCATGTATATATTATCTATGATATCTTGACCTCAATCTCAAAAAGGAATGAACTAGTGTAGATACATCTGATTTATCTCAGCAGAACATTAGCCACTCCTCTGCAACAGGGGCACAACTTGAGAAAAGCAAAGTTCCAATCAAAGAGCAGCGAGAAGTGGGGGGGAGGAGAGGAAGGGAAATTTCACAAAAAACTTAGGAGAAACCTTATCTCAAAGGGAGAACTACATTCTTGCTGCCCTTCTTCACAGGTCCTCTCCCACAATAATGAAAATGATGCAACTGTTATAACCGCCGCACTGTGGGGACTGACAAAGCAACTTTGCATTATTAACTGCCACGCTAGTTCAATATGTATCGCACAGATGAAATTGTAATTCCACCATAGTCCCACTCAATGGGAGCCTATTACTGCCTTCAGTGAAGCTAAAATCTCACTCTAAAATGGTACAGTTCTTAGCCAAAAACACAGGCGGTGATGAAAAATTCCCTTGTGAAACAATCCCATCTGTCAAACACACCAGTAGTATTTGGTTCATTTAAGATTTTGAATGAAGCTATTGTAATGTTAAAAATTCAGAAAGCATCCATAAAATGCCCGCACGATATATGACAGAACAATATTTCATTTAAATTGCAAACATGTCTTCTTAAGACTTATGTGAGCCTTAATATAATGTCACAGAGTGAAAAAAACTTAATGCAGTGATTTGCCTTGTAATTGCAAAAGCAGATGCAGCAGATAAGATTAAGAAAGCAATGAAGTTTGGCTGTTTTGTAGAAAATACATCACTACACAAACTACAGTTCTGGCTTGAAATACGAGAGTTTTGTCATAATTTATAAATTATGTCACCGCCTTAGCAGTCCACAGAACAGGCAAGAAACAAATGTAATACTTTTTAGCAAATGATGATGAAGATAAAGAACCAAGTGGTACTTTGTCAAAATACTTAACACTGCAATGCTATTATCAGCATACTGAGGACTTTTGTTAACAATGACAACAGCTTGAACTGAAACAAGGAAAGAAGCCAGAAGCAGTTATAAACTCCAACACACAGTTCACATGACATACATGAATATGGGAGCAAAAATGTCTACAAATACCAAAGCAGACATGAATGTACAAGAATGTGGAGTAGTCATATGAAGAAAAACAAAACTGATAGAGATCACCAGCACAGATGACAAGAAATTCATAAGTTTTTATTTTATACCTTTCTCGTTCTGGTGAATGCAAACTAGTATCTGGTCTCAAGCAGTTGGTACTAGCACTCCTAGCCCTGTCAAGGGAGGGCTGTAGTTCACTAGTGCCAGTGCATTGCATCCAATGGTAGAAGAGAAAGAAAAAGAAAACAAAGAAAGGAATACAATGTTAGATATTAACTCATAAAATAATGCTCTCTTTACAGAAAATGTAGAATCACAATGATTTAATTAAGGAAAACGTAAAAGAGCTGACTGGATGACAGTGCCAAGATTTGTTTACAAAATAAAAGCAAACAAAAGACTGCTAGAAATATTTTGCTAAGATTGTCGAAATGCTTAAAACTGAATGAGACAGAACAACATCCACTTGTAAAAAAGTGGAATGAGAAATATCAAACAATAAATTTAAAATCCTTATTAACAGCAGTAAATCTTAAGCCAACATAAAAGGATGAGATACACTATATATTATGTGAAATTACTTTACAGTGAAGCTCATTTACTCTGCAAATCCATACTAGATACCAAACAGGAGGGGGGATTAAGCCTCAGTTTCTTACCTAACCAGTAGATCATCTCCAAATTTCGGTATTCGTGAATTAAGGCAATCATGAAGGAGTGAAATATCCTGTCTAATCACGGATTTGGTCTTAGCACATGCAGGAAGAGTTGAGCTTTGTAAATTAAAATTTTTTAAACAAAATGAAAATAAATTTGACATGTAACCAAAACCTTATACATAAACAAAAGAATGCAACAAAGAAAAACATGCAACATATAATTTTAACAGTGAAGACAACTCTACCTAATACAAAGTGACTTGGTTTGGGTATTTTTTGTAACGTGGGGGTTAATTTAAACAGTTATATGAAGTTATTTTAGGATTATATCCCTTATCTCTCAGTTATAAAAAGTGTATGAAACATTTTTATTGTTTCTTTTATTTAACAAAGCAAGACTATTTATTTTTTTAGAAAGGAACTAATTACTTAAAGGGGACTCTAAACACTTCTTACCTGTATAGGCTCCAATGAGTACCATTTTCTAGTAAAGGCATCTTGGGTGGTAATGTTTTATAGTGCCTAACAGAACTTCTTGAATGTGGTGGAACAGAAAAGAAAACAGAACAAACAAAAACATGCCAGAAATAAAAAGACAGGCAAAGGTAAGCCAAGACTGACCAAAATGTAAAATAAATGCATAACACTCTACTACATTTAATAGCCATATGAGTAGGTTCCTCAATATATGTTTTTCTCAACTACTGTGACAGCTATCTGGGGGACAAATTTTTGTATTTACACTTTTGTTAATGCAGTCTATGAACTCGTGACAGTACTAGTCAGCTCAGGTTTTTTTCCTTGTAATTAAAGTAATCTAAATTCCATTTATAGAGGTTTTTAATTAAAATATACAAGCTGTTGTAAAGGATTAGGTTGATATGAAACTTGGTCTTTATTCCTCTTAGTGATGCCTTACTTAAGCCTACAGAGAGTTTAACATCTTCAGTAGCTAAGCATGAAAAGCTTGCTGAAACAGTGAAATATAGTATCACAAACTTAATTACAGATGTATTAGCATCCGGCATTTTTGAATATGGAAGTCTTTTGGAAGTAGTTTATTAGCTTCAATGTTTAACAGTAAGTAAATGCTATTATTAATAAGCTAATTAAAAAACCTAGGAGATCTACTGTATCAGCCAGCACAGCAGCACTCTGAGATGTTACGTGACAACTGTCTAATACCATTTACAGTACATGAGATTTTAGAACAGGAAATGTTTACTTTGTTATCCAGCTCTACCCAATGAATAAGGGAGAAATTTAAAGGCAGACGGGCCTCTGAGTGGGAATCATGGCCATTTAATGGTTAAGGGTTAATAACCAAGTTCTAACAATTTTCCACATACCCTACCAGGACACAGCTGCAGTGCTATTAGCAGAAGGACCAGCAGCCTTGAGGGTTTTGAACATTTTGATTCCTGTTGAGGCTTGGACCTAGGCACAGCAGATCAACATTACAAACCCAGCTGTGTCACAGACAGATGAAACAACTCTCTGCCTGGAAACCCCAGTGTTTGTAAAACCCTGAGGGATTTAACAGAGGAGCTTTGACCCTTCTTGTACAGGTTTAGCGGTCATCACTGCTGACATCTCTAGCAGAGGTCACTGTGACGTTGCAAAGTTGGAATAAAGGAATGGTTGTCCATCAGATCAATCCTGGCATATTAGCAGATATTAGCAATCAAAGTGGGCGTGACCTAAGACATAGAATGTGACAAGCCATGGTCTACGGCATAGGTACACATGTCCTTCCAGCATTTCTGCTGTTAGTCAATAATTGCATGCAGACGGACAGGATGGACAACTAGGACTAGTATCGTTCTAAACTGGTGTATTAAACTAACCATATATCTTAACTTTGTAGCTTGGACTATCTCACATTAGTATTTCTTTCATTTAACATTAAACCCTTAACATTTCTTTCCCAGTTTAAGCTGAAGCTGTCTCAATTATTCAGCAAGCTCTCTAGAAAACAAGGATAAAGCTTTATAATGTTTCTAACATTAATAAATGTCAGGCCACTACAAATGAGAAAGGACAAAATATGGCAACCAATGCACAGAACAAATTTTTGTTGAAACACTCTTTGAGACTATTCAGTCAAGGATGGATATTGGCAATTTTCTGGGTATTATTCAAACTTGGATTAAGCTGTATAAGCCTCAGAGTTAAATTTAAAAATCAATCTATTGTCTTCTATTGCCCTTATATTCACCTTCAATACATTATTAAAAGTACCATTCTGTTCTATAGTATACCATTACTGTTACTTTAAAGGGGTGAATTTGTTACTTTTCTTGATCATAAAAAAGTAACAGCAATAATTAGAATAAGGAAAAAGGCAAGACAAGGCTGTACTCTCTGAATTCAGTGTAGCGCTTGCTTAACTCCATTGCTGCCCGTGCACAATTTTTAGCTGGTTAGCTGGCCTGACTGGTTAGTAGATTTGTAAAACTATTGGACATCTACAGTGGCTGGGCAAAGTGCATCAAAAGTTCATAATACAATATTTACTTTGTGAATTAAGTGAGAATTTAAGCATTTTCATTGAAGAATTCTAATGAAAATGATAATCTTTAAGAGGGAAAGGAAAACGCACAGAGCTCGGGACAAGGAGGGGGGTGAAGCTATAGAAGATACAGCAAAAAGAGAAAGGCCATAGGAAGGAGGGAGGAAAAATTGCTATTGCATGACAATAAAAGGACATAAAATAACAGGGAGTGAAATAAATTTTTAACTTTTAAAACCTAAAATGGTGAGGAAAAGGCTTTTTTAGATAAAGTATGAGAATGAAACTCTTTCTACTGATAATAAAAACTTAATTTTTCATTTAACAGCTTCTCTGATGCACAGATTTTTTTTGAAAGTTTTCATATTTATTATTTTACCTTTATACTACTGTGCCTTATAATAGGACCCTATCACAGCATCTTCGATGCTGTTTCAAATTCGATGAAGAGAATTAAAGCAACCCAAGGCATATTAAAAAAACCAAACTACTCTGTATGGGAAAATCCTACACCAAGTAAATGAGTAAGTACATTAGACAACATGGGTTTAAAAGTTTGATGGTTTCAAACATATAGCACTGACGTAAAACTCTTAGCAACGCCCAGATCCCGAACAGAAAAATGGTTAACTACTTGGTTGAAGTAGTTGACTGGTTAACTACTTCAACTTCAACCTACATTTTTACTGATTCTAAATGGAAGATTTTCTACAAAATCTGACATGTATTTTTAACAAAGTTAACAGATGCGGTGGAAAAAAAAGGCGGGGAGGGGCAGAATTAGGTTTGTTAGATAAAGATATTTCAGTCCCATTTAGTTTCACAACATTCGGAAGAGTTGAGACAGGGAGCTCCACGCTTTGGAACGAGAGATTAATAAAGATTGAAGATGAGCCCAAACTACAAAGTTTATGCCTGGATCTAATTTATAGCACAATTTGTAGATGCAAACCCAAGTAATACGAGACTCCTCAAATCTGGAGTTCCCAGTGAGCCCTCGTTAATCACTGTTCTTTCCCCTACAAGTGACCAAAATCAGCATGAGATTAAGTGTCACAACAAGTAAAGATTGTTGGCTTCTGCGTGGCTGTAATATAAACATAAAAATGCAAATAAAAGAAAACACAAAAACAACTAAAAAGGAATGTTTGAAATTATAATAACACTGTCGTGCATTGGGAGATCAGGACTTCTGTGACTAGACAGAAAATCTATCACAAAATATAACTGCAAAATCAGAATTTCTTCAACTGCTTTAATCCTGAAGTTCACAAACATATATACACATCTCAATCTGAATTAAAACAAACAAAAAAGAAAAACTGACACCTGGATCACAATGTACTGGGAAGTTCTTTACTTACTGGGACTAACACCACTATGGAAAAAAGTTGGGCACACAAAGTATAGACAACTAACCAGATGTGTTCATGATTACCAAATTCCTGTAGTTACCTGATGGTATGTAGGCACTCTGCACTTCTTCCTCGCTTTGCTCTGGGCAGCATAAGAAGCTCACTGCACAGACAGGATGGGTGGTGAGTGAAACAGATATAATTATGAAGCATTAGATGACATGGGTTATGCCAATGATATGCAAATGAAAACATAAAAAGAAACAAGAAGCTTCCACCCAGATAGTCTGATAATGTTCAAACCCAGACTGCACTTCTCAAATATGAGCCAAAAAATGCCTGGGATAACTACATGTTCAACAAATTCCTTTTAGCGTGGCACCTATTTTTGTGGGATTTCTCCTTTTAAAATTCAGAAGTACTGTTTCAGAGCTCTTCATGACAAAAGGTATCCATAAGACAGCTACATTTCTCTAATAACCTCCTTTCCTGTGAACTAATTAAAGAAGCACTTTAGAAAAAAAAAGAATTATGCTTGTTGTTTGTTTTGTGGGTTTTTTTTTTCTTCCTAAGCCACAAAATCATAGATGAAAAAACAGGGAGGGTTTACTACTAATTTACTGCAGATCGGTTTATGAGAAGAGTAACCAGTCACCCTTTTAGGAAAAACAAAAATATATGTTCACTGGAATTATTACATTTGGCCAAATATAAAATCTGACTTAGAGCTATTGACAGTATTTTGTAATGCAATCCTAAAGAAACAAAAAAATTGCTAATCAGCCATCAGACTTTTTTTGTTTCTTGCTGTTTCCAATTGAGAAAATCAGCCATCTATTCTATTTTTTATTTACTGTAACCAAACACATGCTACAGCCAGCAAGATGGTAAAATTAATACATATTTATGCCTATGGTAAATATGACTATGATATGAAATATCCCTTGAATTAATCTTGTAGTTTTATGCAATTCAACAGAATCAGAAAGACTGAGCTCCAAACATCCTAATTATTGTAAATATGAAATTAAAGGTAAACTTCATGGAAACATGCTATTTTAAAAGAAGCAGGGAATAATATGAAGTACTATGGCGACAAAGAGAGAAAAGATTATAAAATAGATAAAGCAGCAGTTGTTCAATGTGCTTTTTGCTTCATGCCATTATAAAATGACTCATTTAATTGATGCAATATAGGTAATATGTATCTAAAATTCTAAACTGGGCAGCTTGAAATAACAGCTTGCGAGTCACATGTGAGATTTAGCTTTGCATCTGGAACCACTAGCCTGATTTGATGCAACAAAATGTATTAAAATTGAACTGTTGTTTGTTTGTTTTTTAAGTAAAATTTCCATTCATAAGCTCAGAGGACTGACAGAATTTACATGCACCTTTCCAAATTACAAATAAAAATGCACTTCAGGAAAACAGTTACCATTTTCTTAAGAGTTGCGAAGTAGTTGCAAAGTCCATTTTAGATCACAGGGTACTTCATTAATATTTACTCTACGTTTGCTAAGCCAAAGATTATCTATTGTAATTGGCCCATGGCAAACAGTAATATAAAATTCATCCAGAAAAGGGATATAAAATAGCAAATGCACCATGAAATCTTCAAGTTAAAAAAACAAAGTAAAAGAATCCATCACAGTAGATTACTGATAATATAAGAAGATACTCACAATTCTATAATAAATTAAGTCTGGTTTGGAGACATTTAAAATAAAGATTGTTGTTCTAAAACAAGTGTCATCTAATGTGAGTATTTTAGTACTCACATTAAAAATTTTATTTAGGAATAAAAGAAACACTAAAAAAAAAAATGAAGAGGGCCACGCCCTTGAAAATTGGACGATGATCCTAAATGCAGAGCAAAATATACTGCTTAGCTAGATTTCCTAATAAAAAGCTTTTCCTAACAGATGTATATATGTATACACACACACACGTGTATATATGTATATAAATATAAATAAAAAAAAGGTAAAGTGGACAAATCACTTCCACTGGAAATTTATCATACCAGTTGCTTTAGTAAGAGACTATAGTAACTACTTTTACAAAAATCTATTCAGAATATTCACTATTAATTTGGGACCAATAACAGATCATTGAGAAAATGATCAAAAGTGATCAGCAACTGTAATTTCTGCCATGTAACTATCAGGTAATTACTCACCTTTCAAACCAGGTTTTTGTTAGGTATCTACATGAATGTACTTGTTTAGATGAGGGGTTCAGTAAATGAACAACACATAATACTTATACTACTATTGATACTAATACATAACACTGAATAAAGATTGGGTTTTTAAATCCTTGGATGCAATAGAGAATCTTCCTCAACAAAAGCTGGTTTTGATCTTCCCTATGATGCTGCTCTTATGTAATGAAAGACAGTGAAACCTGCGAGGGTTAAACAGTCTCCACAACTGAAGAAATCTGGGGAAAAGATGAGAACAGGAGAAAGGAGACCACTGCAGACAAGATTATTACTCAAGGAGAGTAAGTACATGGACTCATCTTTAAATCCTGCAAATAAGCCACGTACATCCATCATGTCTGATCTTTAAACTTCTGAAAAGCGTTTTCTGAACATTGAAAAGAGCTGAAAACTGCATCTTACGCCTCTGAACAAATCCACCAGCCCACTGCTGCTGTGGCTCTGGTCTCATGTCCAAGAAAGCCTCAATGCAAGCCCTGCCCTCCATGCATATATAATCATTTATATCATGGTTTGAGGCTTTACTGGAAGAAAAATTTCTAGACAGTTAACTGTTTATATTTTTTTCTACTAACAAAAGCTACTTTTTAATGTGTCTACCTCTTCAGATCTGCTGAATAAGAAATCTATCCAATAAATACCCTCAGGAATCTTTTTAATATATCACTACTTACAATAAATAATAACATGAAACATTTGCAACAAGTGAAAATTATTTAAATTACCTAAACTATAAATCTGACTACTACATTTAAGAAGCATTTCAATTCACCTCTGAAAGGAAATTCAGTACAACAATCCAACTTAGAAAATTCTGTACATACTTCTTGCCTATAAAGTTGAATTTGAAAATGTTCTGAATAACTCATTAATTCCTGTATGTATGTTATCACATTCAAAAAGCAAACCAGGCAAGATCATACACAAAACTGAACTAATTTAACTGCAAAAGCCATCTGTTATTCAATTTCTATGTTGCTTCAAAACTGGACAAAGAGTTCCAGAGATTTTTATGATTTATTCTTTACACGTTTTCACATCACTATGAAGTGTATGTTCTCTATTGAATTTACTGGATCATTTGGAAAAGTTTTGTTGTCTTTAGTCATAAAATATAGTAACTTACTGCAAAAAAAAAATATCCAAAGGCATTACTAGGATAGTTGATCTTATATGAATGGTAAACGTTTGCCATTACAGTTTAGCTATATGATTTTTTTTGAAGTAAACAAACAACCCACAAAAATTGATAATCTATGTGACTGCCACCATTATGTTTCCCAAATACTGAACTGAAATACCTTTTTAAACTTTTTTTAGCTATAAACTAAACAGAAATTCTCATTTTCTTCCATTATATTAGAATATATTCCTAGATACCTGAAAACAATGCCTACTAAGAGAGACCAAGCATTCTCTGAGGAGTGTAGCCACTGCATGTATTCCAGGGAGACATGTGTACATGTCACGCATCTAAGTTTGGAGATTTTTGCTAATTACAAGCACTGCAACTATCCTTGCTATGCTTGGGTACTGTACCAAGTTCACCAGAATGTCACATAAGATGCTGTGAGACTTCATATATAGATGTCCAAAATCTATAAGCACCGGAACGCAAATCATAGCATATGCAACTCCCAACTAGTAGGAACGCATACCTGGTATCTTGCTGGCTACCAAAACAGATAAATTCTGAGTTACAAGAAGAGCTAGGGCATATGTCCAGATTTATGGTTTTCTAGCAAAAATCTCTGGGCTTCATTCATGAAACAAACAGCAGAATACTCTAGGACAAACACCCAAGAACCATTAGTCTAGATACTTGCTATTACTGTCAACCCAGTGCACAGTTTTACCAAAGAAGAGGTATAGATAATTTAACCATGACACTAGATTTGTCAGTTAGGGTGATTTCTCTCCCTTTCCCATTACTATCAGTCATGTCTCTACTGCACCCTTGAAAATTAGGCAAACTGGCAAAGACATTTCTAAAATTTTTTCCAAGTTCAGGCTGACAATGTACCTTTCTTGATCAGACAAATACTGACTATCCATGTCTCTGGATCTGTAATCAACTGGAGTTCTGGAGGCATCATGGTGTCTAGTTGGAGAACGTGATCTTCTCATTTGATGAATTTCATCTAAACTCCTGAAAGGCAGAAATATGTATGATAATCTTGTTTTCTCATAAATAATACAGCTTAATGGATTACAGTACAAGTTGCCTGAAGGAAGTTTTTAATCATTAAATTGTTAATATACGACTTCTAGAAAAATATCAACTCCTAAGATTAAAAAAAACCAAAACACCTCTGAGCATAGAAAGCATCCATTTCTACCATATTTAGAAGTACATGCCTGTTTCTGTGTATACTGCTGGATTCAGTAATGGCATTTTCAAAGCCTGTACTTAAAGAATAGCTGAGATAACAGAAGAACTGATAACACTTCACATGAAATGAAGTTTTATGCATTTGTAGATTCACAACCAGATTTCTAAAGGGTTGATCTGGGGCTGTCAACTTTTTGCAGGTATCTCCAAGTATTCTTTAAGAAAATCTGGGATAGGATATGGGAATTTACAGCAGATTGATAAAAATCTTTAAGTGTTACACAAAAGGGGTATGATTCTGTATAAATGCAGGTAAACTCTGACCCCCATGACAGTAATTTAAAGCTCTCTTCACATGGAAAAGAACAAGAAAAGAAACTACTATCTGAAGGGCAGATTCTTCCTTTAGTTTAGTAACTGCCATTGGAACAAGATGCATTAGTTTTTCAAAGTATAAAATGAAAGGACGGGTGGGATTGACTATTAAATATTTCATTTGTGCATCGTGCTTGTAGATAGAAAGAGTCAACAAGAGCACATGTAATTGTTTGCAAAAGCAGAATGAGGAGCTCTCATTCTCTCTACTATAAAAAAAAAAAGAGTCAGTGCCACAGTCTGGTTTATGTACAGCCATACTCTTCTATCTGTTAAGAATGCATTACCGAGAAATGCAACAGCAAGTTATTTGGTGGGTAGTGAAATAGCTTCATCTGTAAAAACTCAGGTAACAGGGGGATGAGTGCAGGGACTTAAGCAGCACACAAAATTTCAACACACAAGAACAGTATATGTGGCACGGAGGATGGAAAGGAAGAAGCAAGATCATCAGGATTGTCAACTGGGAGGAGAAGCTGGTTTTCCAGAATATACCATCAATTTAAAACATCACAGATGTCTGGTATTAAATGACCCCTGATGAAACTCCAAAAAAGAGACACCAAACGATTGATAAGGACAGTACTGTAGCACAGAATTTTGTACACAAAACTCAGCTAAGAAGGGTAGATTTTCAGTAAACTACCATGCCTAGTGGGCAATAATGTTGCTAGTACAACACTTCAAGCTCTTGCAGTAATTCAAGAATAAAGCTTCCTAAAAAATGTAGGAAAGGAAAACTGGTAAAAACTGGCTGATTTTTAAGGTTTCATGAGAGGTTGCAAGAGAAGCTTATTGCCCTGCACAATAAAACAAGCAAAATCAAGTGGGTCAACTTTTGTGCTTAAACAGTCTGTATGACACTATTCAAAAAAAGCATAAAGCATGCAAATAAAAAGCTCAAAAAGGATTCTCCTTTTAATAGGTTGTCTATTAAAAGCAGTAAATGCAGAAAATAGAGGTTTATAAATCACTATCTGATTCTGTATTTTTTACTTCTTCCATTAAAAATGTCACATTATAAACACAATTGGTAATTTCAGCTTGCTGTTACTTCAAAATTAGTTTAATTCATAGTTATTACACAATTTGTACATGCCACTATTTATTATCCTACAAATATACTTAAGTGGCTCCATACAAGATTCAGAATCTGACTGAAAAAACATTTCCAAACCTACGTTTTAGTTATGGTACGCAGATGATGAATCACAAAGAAAATATCAGTAAGAAGTGGTACGCATTACAAAGTTACAATTCAGCCCATGAGCGCTCTTGAATGATTAATAAAAGCATACAGCAAGTTCAAATACCGCACTACTAAATTCAGATACAAAACAAGTTTTAAAATTGTTAAAAATTGCTGAACAAGAGAAAAGTTAATAATGACAGATTCCAGAAACTTGAAATCACCCAGTGTTTCAGGAACTTGCAATGCCTACCTCTGTAATGGCACATTTGGTAAACGTGAACGGGTCCTGCCCTGATCGTCGCCACGGTGAGGAGATACAGATCGTGAACGATGATGTGTTGTTCTTTGCTGTTCTGGCACAGTTAGCGTTGTAGATTTGCTTTCTCTAGTACTAGATCTATAACCTACTGGCAAGAGGGCAACAAAAGGAAATTAGAGAATAAAAGTCTGGGTTTGGAAAGAATTCAGATGGTTAGTCCTTCCAGGAACACACATCTAAACGCTTACACAGCTTTCAAGTCGCCATTCAGCTGTTGTACATCTCGACGTATCATGCAGCCCGGATAAATTACTAGCATTACCTTTAAATGTCTACATGTACAGACACAGAGAAACTGAAATGATTTTCATTATGTACTGGAAGATGTAGACAAGAGGACTGAAATAGGTTTCTGACTTGGGGAAGAGTACCCAGAGTAAATTGTATTTCAAAATTGTCATACAGTAGCAAGTATTTGAGAGGAATCCAAGCAATGTAGGTTCACCTCATCTAACAAATGGCATGCTAGTGTACAACAGCACAGACTCATCCAGGACTGCTCATATATAAAGCATCCTTCTGACTCTTGTTTCAGTTAAATACAAAGATGATCTCCTACTGAACTTGGCCAAAGCCACCTACCTTCAAAAATTATGACCATTTAGAGTATATTGCATAGAATATTGGGTGTTGCATACCCTGCGGAACATTTTTTCTGAATACTATGAATAAGCTGCAAGGTTCCTCATAGTTCATTTTCACATAGGATTTAAAAAAAAAAAAAAAGTCAGCAGATTGTTAGCACATTTAAAGTGTTGATATTCCCGTGCCTTTTTCCATGTAGCACACTGTTTGCCTTGTTATACACTTTGAATCCCATCCTAAAACAGACAGTGAAGCTCAATAAGATGAACAGCTTTCAAAAGGTGCCTGTTACCTTTCCAAAAGGCCCTAAGGAGATTTGTTCAGGCTTCAATTGCTCAATTCTAGACATTTAAATTAGATTACAAGAAGCCCTTGACAGAAAAATCCCTTAATGACGGAAAGGGTCATCCCTTAATGACTTCACAAATTATTGTTTAGATTCCAAAATAACAATTTTTCTGCTTCTCTGAATTTGTCTAGCATTAAGTTCCTGTAATGTGTTATTTTGTTCAGCTAAAAAAACAGCTTGTATCAGAAATCTTCTTTCCACGCAGGAAAAGACTATGATTTAGTCACTCAGTCATCAATTGGATAAATTAAATAAGTTGCACTTTTTAAGGATCTCGTGATAGAGTTTCAAGTTTGGGTATTTTTCATCTTTTGTATAATTTGTATAATTCTTGTAGTTCTCCTCTGATCTTCTATCAAATTGTTATAGCCCTCTTAAAAGTGTAGCCCGTACACAGTCTGTGTTAGTCTTGGTCATGTATTCAATGACACTTGATAATCTGTTTAGCTGCAAGTCTGAACCCTGATCACAAACATCAAGGAAGCATTCATGCTTTTTTCCCAAACTGTGCATCAGTTTACCAACGTATTCTAATGGACATGTAACTTATTTGAATGCATTATCTCATTATTAGACCTGAAGGACAACGCTTTGTTAAAACAGTGATAAATAATCCTAAAATAATATCTTCCACTATAGAACAGATTCATCTCAGTAACACAAAAGTGAGAACTGGGACTTACTAGATGATGCATTTTATCATCCAAGGAACTCTAAGACTGCTTTCCTTGATTATACAGCTTATAATATCACAGCCTCTAGACATGTGTCCACCTTTTATACAGTACCGAACAAACTAGCAGAAGTTATCCAAGATAACAGTAGAGCACCTATGTGCTGTAGTATCCTACAGTAGCTTTCAGCCTTATACCAGCTTTCCAGCAACTTCAGTAAATAAAAAAAGATTGGCTTCAATAAGTTCCTGTCTTTAATATATTTACCACTACAAATACGATAGGGAAGGCAGATAGGAAGGAGACAATGTTGACGAAAAGATGATTAGACAGTTTTACTACAGACTTTCTGGTTACCGTCAGCTAGAAAACATATGCAGAAAGACTTTTGCAAGTTCTGCTATCATTTTGTCCAACTTCCGTGTCTTCTACTTCGTAGTATAGCAGCTGGTGTGAGAACATGGGAAACAGGTTTTGTTTCTTCCATTTCTTGAAGCAGAGGGGTGGGATGAGGTTAATAAATCAGGGAACCAAGCAGCACTGTGAGTATTGATAGATTTTAGATTAGAGGGTAGGACTGGGCCCAAAGAAAAGCACTCGTAATAAGAACATATCATGTAGCTGAGAAACAAACATCAGGCACAATAATGTTGAGTGCACATGTGCACTGTCCTCAAACAACACTGGGTTAGTCATGTCAAATAAAAATAATGAATGTAATTTCATATTTAAAATGTGATATTGCTCAGGTTTGGGGAGGGTGGGAGCTATTACTTGAAAACCAGGAAAACACGGAGAAAAAACTTTTGGGAGAGCTCACTTGTAGCTACTAAAGAGAGCTCACTAGAAGCTACAAAACCAGCAAATGATTGCCACTTAAAGAGCATTTTTAATAGCGAAGCTGCACTGAGTACTGACTGCAAAATGGGCCTGTAAAAGTTGATGGCATGCATGAAAGTATCTACTGAGGTTTATTAACCTTTTAACAAAGGAGGACTCCAATGTTTCACAGCTTTTTAGGTACTCTGATGCTGGAGTACCTTACCTGCCAAGAAAGCGTTTCAGAGTTGTGTAATAAAATTAGAAACATGAGGGTCACCCTGATCTCAGGACAAAGACTGGGTGCAAATTTTGAAGTAAAAAAGGGACTCCAGGACTTCAATGGAGATTCTCTCATCTCATGTACTAAGGTTGCTGCAGAAAATGTCAGGGGCTTTGTCAGAGGAAGAAAAAAGACTACACATGACAAAAGCTGGTTGTGTTCCGTTTCCCAGGATAGCTAAATCTAAGCTGTATGTGCTAAAAGATATTTCATTTTCCAAACAAGTTTGTTTTAGATAAAATCCTGTCACCTCTATCAGAAGGAATATTAGTTTATATTTACTTAACACTAAAATCAAAGAAATCCAAAACTTCTTTCCAAGCTTTAGGCAACTGTACTGAAATACCTACAATTTAAATATAAAAAAAATAAATATACATTTCAGTTTAAAATATATTTCTAGAGTGATTATCTCTAGTCTGCCCCCCCCCCAAAAAATACACCTAGGATTATCCTGTACACTTAAAAATCTGGTACAGAAAGATGATTTTATCCTATATATTCTTCATAGCCAAGCTATCCAGGGAACAATATCTGAAACTTGTGCATTGTGTTCACACAAAGCTTACAGAACAGATGGAGCAATAGTAATTCACACTTATCCTAAGTATTAAGTCAAGTATTGTCAAGTTGGTCAAACTGCATCCATACTTCCATAGTGACCATGACAGTGACAGCAACAGTAACATTTCCTCATATCCTCAAAATACAAAGGCTCTGTACTCTCCAGAGTGAGCAGAGAAATTGTTTGCATGGACCAGCATGATAGCAGCAATCAAGCTTATGGTAGTTTATGCAGAAGTTTCTCAGTTGCTCATGGGAAACTGTCAGGCGTGACATGAAATGGAAGCTGGATAAATGATGAAAATGGTTCTAGCAAATGATTGATACCAGAATGTTGGTTGTTTTTTTTTTAAAGACAATACAGACAATGACAAGGTGTTCTGTTGATGTCACCCTGCTGCTACAGGAGGAAAGTAAGTACAATGCAACCATTTATACAGATTATATATGATAGAAAAATAAATTGTTCTGAACAGTTACCCATAGTATAAGCAATACAGCTCATTAAAAATACCCTTTGGGATATTGCCAACTGTATATCAGCTTTTTTTTTTCTTTTTAATTAAGAAAGTTACTGGGGATATTGCCAACTGCGTATTAGCTTTTTTCTCTTCAATTAAGAAAGTTACTGAAGTTTTGGTTAAAAAGACATCAAAACATGTCTGGTTTTTATTAAATCCTTTAGTGATCCTTTACTGACCCTTCCTATATACTTAGCATTAATGAGGCCACAGCTAGAGTACTGGGCTCCTCAGTACGAGAGAGACATGGAGTTATGGGTGTGAGTCCAGCTCAGGAGCACAAAGATAATTAAGAGACTGCAGCATTTCTCACATGAGGAGAGGCTAAGAGATTTAAAATAACATTTTCTTCAGGTAAATAGATGTGGGCATACCACAAAACCCTGTCAAAAATCAATTCTATTAAAGCTGAGCTTCAAATTAAAGTTACTTTCAGGTGTTGATATAAACACCTTTTATGATCAGTTCTATGAGCTGATTTTAAAAAAATTATATATATCACTGCAAGATAATAATAATAAATGAGAACAGTACAATTGTACAGAAAGATAAGACACATGTGATATAACAAGGGAAAAATACTTTTCTTAAAATAGTCTTGAAGTCATCAAAGTGTCATTATTTTTGATGTAGGAGTGTTTACTTTCATTGACAAGCAGTGATTCTTTGCAGCTGCTGAAACCTCTAGGAAAGTAGTTTTCTCTGTTGTTGCTAAATGCTAATACTGCATTTGCCTTAAAAATTGGTAAAACATTTGAAATTATAGTTTTAAGGATTTCCACTGTTAGTTAAATTAGCCAAAATATTTTCATCATTCCTTTTTTAGCTTATGGTGGTGATCAAGTGAACTTTTGTGCTTCTACATTTTGCAGTTACATGTCTGGTTTTTAGAAAATGAGTAATAATCTTTGTGAAAATCTTGAGATATTAAGGTGGCAAAATAACTTCCTTCTCTTCTGAATATTTCAAGAATAAGAATAAATTAACAATTGTAAGAATATACCTTTAATAAAGACAAAGCTGATTTATCATATATAAGCGCCACGGTGCATAAGACTGGCTAGTAAGTGGTAAAGGGCTTTAAAGGGAAACATTTTCTTTTGCATCGCGTGTTGTAAACTCAGTTTTGATAGTTTTACTTCTGTTGCGAAGGAATATCTTAATCCTAGACTAATCTATTGAAGCCAATAGATGTTATGCAAAATGGTCTAAGAGTGCACCTGAGCTGCAGCATCAGCCTACATTATGGGGAAATAGGGATCTTGGTTGCTCCCTCCCACACGCACACCTTGCAAGAGAACGTGTGGGAAATCTGGACCAGATGAGCTGCACTGCACTCTGGTGAGGTTCATGGTGTTGGGGGGCAGGAGGAGGGAAGGGGTAAAGACCCTGCAGCACAACAAGGAACTTGCATGCAACTTAGTTTTAACAGAGGAGACTGTTAGATGGAGAAGATATTGTACTATTCATTCAGTGCAAATTAAGGCAGCAGTTCAAAGTCTTAGAAGATTTAGCAATGGGATAAGTAAGGAAGGTTGGAAAGGAGGGTAGAAATGCGTATCTGAACTTGGTCTCCAGGCACATTTGTGAATCTGTGCCTAAGATTGTCAAGCAACTCAGTAGATGGCGGGACTGGCAACCTTTTCCAGCTCTCACTGCAAAACACATTTTCATATGCTGTCTAGGCTGTCACACATTCGTGGCTGATGACTGAAATTTTCTTTGCCCCTGTGTGCCTAAAGTCTAACCCCCATTTAAGAATTCAGGTTGCATGTGCAAACAACACCCCCCACCCAACTTACATGTCTCCACTTCGCATAGGAATCATGAACAGATGAACTCCACTTAGAATTGCCAAACAAATGTATCCATTACAGTCAAAATAGACAAATTTGTGCTTGGTCAGGTCCAGAAGGAGTTTCCCCACCAGGCTCTTCAAGTTTCAGTTTAGAGACTCTCAACTCATTGTAAATCCTGTTGCTACAGATCAAATTTTGCAATTTTCTACAGCGATCAATGAGAAAGTTTGGACCCATGCATTCTTCAAAGGCACACCTGAGCTTGCACAGTCCCAAGAAATTTCTGTAAGAATCAGTTACTCAAGTGCTGACCCAGTGAATAGAGTCCAATGCATTCAGCTGAACATTTTTGAACACTTCCTGTCAGATGGAAAATGTTTTATTTCAAATGGCAAATGGATGCCTTGAAGAACTGGCAGCTGATAAAAAGCCCCAATTCTTAACATGGTATACTGAAATCTTAAACATAAGTAAGTCTACACAGATATGCCCGTATCTACATTGCCAGCTAAAAAAATGAAATAATAAACAGGAAAAAATATTTAGAACCTATGATTTATTTTAATTTTAATTATTCACTCTCTTAGCTGATGTAAAAATATCAAGATTAGTCACTTCATTAAAGCAAATATCATTACTAGACATACCTGAACAAATCTCCCTCTTAGTAACTCAGGTGGTAAATGCATTAAAGTAAGGAAGGAACTCAATCAACACTGAAGAAAGGAGAATTTGGCTCAGTAAACATCAAAATGATATTGTGTTAATAGAATATGCGAGTTATTTCTGTGATTATATAATGAATAAATAAATTGTCAGATTATTTTAAACACAGGTCAGGAAGATAGAGAGTTTTCCAAATCCCACCATGATAGAATTCAGTGACTTTCATCAGGAGGATCCACAGAAAAACTGATTTAGTGCTGGCAATGACATAGTGACTCTTCAGTTAGTTTGGGACAACTGGGAAACAATCATCTGACTTGTGGCAACAGTCAAATAGAAGTAGAAAAATGTGGTATCCAAAATGATCCTTAAGATTTTCAGTATGTAAGGAATGCTGAACTAAAAGTCAAACCACGATAGTCTCTACAAGGATATATTTATGAACATTTAGGGTAATGACAGTTCATGAAGGTTTATGAAAACTATAAAAGATATAGCCATGCTACATGCATCTTAATCTACAGCCATGCATTCTCAACAAAGTCCATGGGAGACTGCATTATATCTAAGTTTCAAGCAAAAAGCAAAATAAATAAAAAAATGCTTGCAATAAACACTGAAATCTTAATTGTTATTTTAAAATGATTTTTTGAATTTAATTTATATTTTAAATAATGCTTAGAACATTACGAAGTAAACAATTAAACAATTTGAACCATCCAGTGGTTCACATATGAAGAATGATATGTAAAAGAAATATCAATGGATGAATAGTAAAATCTTTTAATTCACCATGATTTAGGACAGGTACCATGGAATAATCAGGAAAACTGTTTTTTTCACAATGCACTCTCCAAAACCAGTATCCTCAATATTCCGAAATGTTATAAAGAAAAAAAATCAAACAAGCAAAAAAGAAGAAGAGGAAGAAAGCAGGACCATGCTGTTCACCCACGCACCTGGAGGAACAACTCCAATACCATCATCAACATCATAATCTGAGATGTCACTATCACTGATTGGCCGAGATCCTGCACAACAGTAAGGTAAACAAATACCTGAACATCTGGTCGTGTTATAAAATGTAAAAAATATGTTCATTTAACGTACTACTGAAATTAAAAAAATGATTTTAAGTCTAAACAATAGAGGAGGAGAACTCAACCCCAGTGACTGACAGTAGTGTTTCACAAGAGAGCTGAGCCAATTTAACATCTTACAGCTGCTGCAGCCTCCTTTCCCCTTCTCCTTCCCTCACGTCCTCAGTAATCCTCTACTAGGATAGTTTATCTCACTAAACCAGCAAAAAGTTAACTCAAAGAAGAAAAATACTTTTGTGCTATTTCAGTGAGTAAGCTGAATCAGCTTGCTGAACAGGAAAGGAGAGGTGGCAACATATGGTGAAAGAGGGGAAGAGGAAACAGCACTGCCAGCTTTTAGAAAAATTCAAATCTCTCAAAAACTAACCTTTAATTTGCTCTCTCTATACATATCCTCATGCAGCAATTACAGCAATATCACATTTTTATAATTCATTCCTGAATGTGCACCAATTTCCTACGCATTGGCTGGAATGAATGACTTCCTTGTTTAAGAAAAAAACAGAAAAATAGCTTGGAAATGTACTTGAAAACAATCCCCTACATCCTTCGTATTTCTAAATAAATCTGAAATTAATTTAAATGAACAGAGAAGCTACAATATTAAAATATTTCAATACATTCATTATTTTAATATGCCTCATACAAACCTGAAATCAGACTCATCAAAACAACTGTACCTCCCAAATACATGCATACAACTTCTTTTTGTTGCAAAAGCACACTTCTCATCTGATTGTATAATGAGCATATTGGAGGTTGCGACTAACTTTACAATGAAAAGTGTTAAGCCTCTTAAGTCTTTAAGGACTTTCTTTTTGTAAATGAAAAGCTTTTAATTATTAAAAAGAAGTATCCAATACTGATGAACTTCAGATTTCTATTTAAAAGGAAATTTAGGCAAACAAATGTTTGAACAATTTTCTTTTGTTAGTGAAGACCAAACTAATTCCAACAGGTTTCACATACTTGAAAGTTATGCACCACAGGTGAAAGGCTGCTACGTCATAATGTCATGTCTCTTCTGCCACACATTTTCATTATGTTTAAAGACTATGAAACGGGATTTTTATCTTGTATATGAAAGTTAAATATCATTACACCATATCAAGCATTTCTAATTTAAAATTTAAAAGAGATTAATGGAATTTAGACCTACTTTGTAATTTTTTGCTAGTGCTTTCTCCACCATGAACATGTCTTCTTGGCATGAAAGGTGATGGCTGAGGCAGAGGTAGTGAAGATTCATCATGTGTCTGTAGCTTATACCAATGTGGTTCATCATCTAAAAGCGCTGTCTCCAGCTCTATAAGAATCTAGTAGGAAAATTATCAGGTTTTAATTTTACTTTCAAGGCACACACACACAAACACAAAATATATATGCATATGTATTCAAAACCAAACAATGAACTCAGGAGAAATGTGGTTGTATGTATCACCTCTCCAAGAAATTCACTCTCTTCTTCTTGTACTCTTGGCTGATCCCATACGGTTATTTCAAGCATTCGTTCTCTAAAATCTCTACGATGTACATGTGAGTAGAGAAAAGTTTGGTTCCATTTTGGCTCTAGACTTTTCTTTACTGTTTTGGTCCTCCTTTTACTCTTATCACTGAAACATAAATATTTGTTGTAAATTGTTTGTAGACATAAATCACAAAATGCCATCTACTCATCAGCACTTACTGTTTTCATTCTTTCTGATCTGATAATGACTAAAGAGAAAAGTATTTGCTGTACAGTGGATCACATTCATCCAAAAGACCACAAAGTTAATTTGATACTGACTTGCATGATTCAAGTGCATTTTTTTGTTACAATTAATCCAACTATAACAAATTATAAAAAAGGAATTCTTTACTTCATAAGCATTCATTTAAAAGTTGATTCAGTACATGGTAAATTACAACATAATTTTCTAGACTGAAATTCTACTACCTTCTGTCTGGAAGAAAATACATTTTTACATAGGGATTCCTGGGGCGTCCATCTACTCTTGGTGGCAAATCTGTTGCTTGCAGAACATTTACTATTAACTGATGTCCCACTTTGTCATACCACAGTTTAACCTACAAGAATCAAGTTACCAGAAAACATTACTGAAAATGGAGAAAACCCAAAATTTTCACACTGCATCACATTAACCGCAATGCAAAAGTAACTGTTGTTTTTTTGAGAGACAATGAGATATATTTTATTTCAAATCCCCTAATATTTAATTAAGTTAGATGGAAGAGATGATGGTATATACCAAAGACTTTTCTGTTTGCCACAGCTGAATAAAATGCTAGTGCCTGATTATACTTACATTGTTTATTGTACTCACTGCATAATCTTGCATCTGAGTGCGTTTAAACCAGCATATGTCTTAGCTCTGCACCTTAAAAGCTACATTCAAATAGGAAGCCCCGACTGCAACTAAACTTGAGGCATAGCTGAAATCTATCTACTCTGATTTGTCACCTTGCAAATGTTCTTATGGAAAGTACAATATAGAGCTAAATAATTTCTTAAGAGAATCCTAACATTATGAAATTTTTGAGCCTGCTGTGTACTTGGAAATTAATATGATCAATATAAAAAAATATAAGAATGTTCAAAAAGTCTAAGTACTCACAGTATATTTAACAAGCACAGCTTCAATTAGTATTACAGACAGTTTCAGGATGTAGTGTGTATATAAATTAAAATGCATTGCTGAACAGTGTAACTCTTAACAAATATACAGCTCTTTAAATGCTCCCATAAAGAAGATAAAGTGATACTACGCTTGTCTGCGGACTACTGGAATGTACAGAAGAGACGCCATTTTCAGTGCAGAGGGTACAGGATGATAAGTTACAAGGCACTTTTATGGGCTCCTCTCAATGTAAATTCTTGCGCTTTTTGATGTATTAAGACAATTCTTTACCTCTGCTGTGATTACAGTGATGGTTTGTGAGTGTGTACAGAGGGTCTTAAAAACATTGGAAAGATGTTAAGTCTTTACCAACAACAGACATTTCTCTTGACCTCCCAACAGACCCTGGGAATGTGGAGTGCTGAGGGACCAGCACTTCACAGATTTTCATTAACAACTCAGGAAAAACAAAATATGCTCACAGAAAGCTGCCCTGGTAGGACTTGTGGTGCATCCCGTAGGGCTCCAGGGCTGGTCGGAGATATAACAGAAATAGAAGGCCTTTCCATCTTCTGAGATTCAAAAGAACTCGAACCTAAAAACACATGAGAAACACATGAATTTTCCATCCAAAACTTTGAAGCAAATTTGGATAACTTATGAATTGCTTTTTCTTTGAATTGCATAAAGTTTGCATTTATACACAGTGTAGCTGGATTAATATACAGAAAGATTTTAAACTGATGTATATAGCATGGTGAAAAAGACTGCCTGGATACCCTTACCCCAGATTAAACCTGCCATTTTTTGGTTTATTTCAAATAACATATAACAAAGTGCTCCTCATATAGCAGTGATAAAGCATACCAAGTGTTTCAAATAAAATATTGTCCTCTGACAGAATTACACATTTTCCCTTCCAACCCAAACTATTCTATGATCTCAAATCTTTGACAAATAAACCCACATCTCTTGTATGGATTATACTCCTGGTAGCCTCTGAAATTTTAACTCCCAAGGAACTGGCACACAGTAAGGTATGCAGGACATGCGTCTGGCACGGAGGATGCTCCAGCGCCTGCAGGATATCAGCAGTTCTCCACCAGCAAAGCAGAGCCCTCACAAATGAGATGAGCTCGTGACCGGTGTAACAGCACTCGGTGGCCCCACAGGACCCTGTCCCAGGGAAGGTTTCTGGTTGCATCTCAGGCAAGGCTCAGGTGAGAAAAGACTGGGAGCTGTAGCCCTCACATGCTCCAGCTGACACTCTTCAAATGGGATAGTTCAAAAGAAAACCATTCTTTTGAAGCATGATACACAAAAAGTTCACCTAACCAGTTTTGCCTTGTTAAGAAAAAGAGAAGCAAGAACTCTGGACTTAGGCTGGATGGTGCAGGAGGTGGAATTCTGACACCATTTGACCTTTGGCAATCCCTTATACCTGTTTCCTCTCTTATGTTAGGGCAAGCAAATGTCTGTTTTGGGCCACAGCATGTATACCAGTATGGTTCTAACAACACAAGATATAGAAGAAAACAATAAAAACCTGCTAACATTTGAAATCTGTATAGCTTTAATCAAATCTACATTGCTTCAAATTTAACACACATGACCAAAACCCAGTGAATTTTGTCATACAGAAACCTTGGAGCCAATGCAGTCTCCCAGTGCTCATCTTTCAGAAAATTCATAGCTGAAATGATTGTACTGGATACAAGACCATGCTTAGTGGAAGGAACGAGGTGTGTACTCACTAGACTCTAACGGGGGGTGAGAAGTCTCGGGAATCCGTGGAATATCACTAAAACGTGAATATACACATAGTAATTAGAAACAAGAGAGATGACCTTCTGCTGTGACAAATACATTTCTGTGACACATTTCTAGAAATATGGATCTGTTTCTGTTCTAATGGGTTACAAGGAAAGAAACACATATTTTCCACTAGCATTCATGAAAATCTTACTAATGCAAACTACTTCTTTCAAGTTAAGGAACTAGCAGACATAACAATATGAGCACTACAGTGTTCATATTGTGGATGGATTCCACAATATTTTTACAACCAGAATAAAGTTAGAGAGCTTTTAGGAAGTGAAAGGTGGCAAAAGGTAGTACAGCTATGGATGTTCAACTATTTTGGGGAGGAAGAAAAATCAAAAAAATAAGATATAGATTAACTCACTAGTAATTTTTATATAAACGTCTCAAGGAGTTCACGGAATGAAACTGGTGAAAATGTCTTATAATAATAAAAAGAAAAAGCAAATTATCTTAGCAATGTTAAACAAACAAAAGAATAATGCATTTCTTCAAAGGCTAAAAAAAAAATAAAACCAAACCATATTACAATTGGGTATGGACATTTTTTGACATACACATACCCAGCACATATAGAGCTATAAGCAAAATCAAACTGGTTAAGTCCACACACATCTATCAAAATTTTGCCATCAATTTACTCTTCCACCAAAATCTGGATGATGCTAGCTCCTGACTCTCCTCTGTTCTCAGCAATCATTGAAAATACATTGCAAGAGCAAAAGAAACAACTGTTATTGTACAAATGTTAGCAAAGCAGCAGAGCAGGAAAATGGAAACCAAGTTCTTCATTGAATTACTTGAAAATATTTTCACCTACACAAAATAATCCAAAATTGGGACTATAATAACATTTGTGAAGAACATTTACAAGATTTTAAGCCTAAAGCTGAGCATTTTAAAGGTATTCAGGCACTTCTCTGTTCAGTGAACCACTATCTTACTGACTTGGAAGTCAATAAAACTAAGACTTCTAGGTATGTAAAAGTCACTTATGAAAATGAAACAGGCAGTTAAGTCAGAAAAGGAATGTAACAGTGCCCCATCAGATAGTCTTAAATTCGCTTTTCATGTCCTGCAATTTAAATTTCTGGTGCCTGTGTTTTAAAAAAGCCTATTTCAGCTCCACGTTAATGTCTCACATCAGCTTACATCTCACATCACTAAACAAGAACGTGCTTCTCTTTGCCTTGACTTTGTAATTCGAGAGTAATGTGGTTTCCTCATTCTCATGGAAATATAACTGCTTTACTCATTCTTGACACGGCATAGAACTACTTTACAAACATATAAACAGATTAACGACCTGTGGCACAGCAGGGCTGCTGTGCAGACTTCTGCCTCTTAACATTTTCTCTCTTTCCAAGGCAGAATTTCCAGGGCAATTCTCAGCAGTCTGAAATATTTACTTACCACATTTAAACTGATTTTTCTGCTCAATACAACAATAAGTTTGTAATGATATCTTGTGCTAGAATATGAACACTCTCATCTGCAGTATAGCATTGTTCGTAATAACATCACGCTTAGGATAGCTAAACGAAGGCTCCTATGTGCAAGGAGTGTTTCAACATGGGAAGTGCAACCTACAGCGTCAAGTTTCATAATCGCTGGGTGGGTGAAGAAAGACACTAAAATGAATTTGGTTTGGATTTTTCTCTGTATTGATGACAATACAGTAAAAAAAAGCCTAAAAATAAGTGTCAAATTACATATATAAGCACTTAAGAACTGATTTATACTTACACTAAGGCACCATTGCGCTATTAGACCAACACAGAAAAGTCTAATAATAAACCAAGATGAGAATCAGATCCACACAGTTTACAAGAGGAAAAACAGACACTGGAATGAAGATACCACATCATGAAAAAAAATGGTCAGGTTGAGAGTATTTTCCTCACGTAGAGCTGGCAACACAAAAGTTCTCACCAGGTAAAGGTAAATCACAAAAATAATCAGATCTTTCTCAAGACTTTATGCATCAGACAGGAAAGAACTGAAAGTACAATTTTTTAAAATGTGTTTTTCTAAACTCCTTGTAATTCATATGAAAAACCAACAGGAACAGTGGAGGCTAGAACATAAATTCCAACTCCAGACAAAATGCATGTATACAATAGAAATGTTATTTGAAATCTCTAAAACTTTATAATACAATGGACAGGTTTTTAAAATATATATATATGTAATTTGTAGATATAAAAATATATATTTATTTTTATATATATATACATAATGCATGTGTCTGTATGTGTGTATATGTGTGCATATACATATATAAATTATTACTAAGGAAACTGCAACTGTACTATATTTATTTTTAAGTACAGCTCCACACCACATTGCAAGACACAAAAATAAAAGAAGAAATAAATTCAGTATGCAATATGGTACTGATCACCAAACTCATGGCAGAGTATTCTAACAAGCTCTCTAACAGTTCTGCTTTCTGCTATTGATTTCAACATGTACATGATGTAAAGCTATACTTCTGTCTATGCGTGAATTTCTTACAAATTCAATAAACCAGTTTACATAATCATTTCTTAAATATTACAATGCACACAAGAAAAACAACTGGTGTACTAGACTTTATCAAAAGTATGAGTGGTATTTTTTTAAAATGTTGGCATTTTAATTAAAGAATGAAAATTCTAAAAAGAAACTCTAATCTAAAACTTGTTATGTAAGAAGATTAGTCTTATCTAGCCTGCTTTTATTTTTGGATTGCAGAAAGCATTCTAACACTATGATTTACAAAAAAGCTCTTCAGAAGAAATAGTAGCTCTTGACTTAAAATGTTCAAAACTAGACTACAGAAAGCAAATGGTAAAAACAAAGTAAGAAGTTGCACAACCACTTATTTAAAATAGTAACAAAATTTCACTCCCCTTTCGGAGCAATGCGAAGGTCAGAAAAGTAATGTTAGACACACAGCCGACATCGAACTTTGTCTTTCTATCTCTGCCTTGGAAGGCAAAGGTATTTTGTGGTCATATGTCATGTTACATATGATTATCTTATGTCTGATTCTTCCACACCACAATGAATACATAAATTAAACCAAACTATACCTTAGGCTGAGATTCCTCTGTGCAGATACATGGTTTGTGAGGGTCGCTATTTTGTAAAACACAGGAACAGCTATAATTTCCCTGAGGTCTATAGTCAAGAGTTTGATCACTGAAGACAAACCAAATTCAACTGTGGCTGCAACCCTGACTGGTTTTAGATTGCTCTAGGGACAGAAGCATAGTCCTCTACACCCTACAGAGTTTTCAGTTTCTGAGTACCTGTCCCCAGTGCTCAACCTTCTACTTCCAAAAGCATTCCTTCCCATCGGAACCTGTAAATCAATCTGCAGTTTGCACTAATTACATTACTTGAGCGACTCTCTGGAATTCAGTACTGCCTGGTTTGTGATGGAGGTTCAACCTCCTTGCGAGGACCTAGAGCACAGTAGCAGTCCCTGCACAGAGGAGCTGAATCACACCAGAGAAACAACAATTTTGGCAATATTATCTGTGGAAATCCAAGCAAAGATAGCTAGCATCTTACAAAGAAAACAGAGACAAATGAAAAAAGATTCGTTTTACCTGTGCTATCCCATAGAGCTCACCCCAGCACACCAGAGACGGTGAGTTAGTTACCATGCCAGGTTTCTTCTCCAAAAAGAATACTGCCAGAGGATTTTCTATGCTGCCCTACGTTAACCACCTCTCACGTTGTATGCATATTCATAGGTAATTCTTCCCTCATATTCAGATAGCCAACCCATTAATTCTACTTTTTATAGGTTTCTTATCTACCTTGTGTTGCAATCACTAGCATTAGCGTCAATTAGTTTCTATGGAGTTTTCACCGTACTGTTGTGGTTATACTGTTTATTGTTGCTATGCCTTCATCTGCTAATAGTGTTACATGTTTCACATTTTTCTCTAATAAACATCCTACAATTATCCATTACTCAAAATTACATTTGCTGGTAGACACACAAATCCAAATTTACACGACTGAGCAAATTGTTTAGCCATCATTTTCGTAACTGGCAGTCTAATTTGCGGGCTTACAATCGTCCCATTATTCACTTATGCCAAACTGTGTCATATTTGGGCTTTTTAGACCTAATATGCTAGGACTTTTTAAATCAAGACCATTAAAAGTGATGGTACATTATTTGCATTATTAATACTGGGAGATGAAAACACGTAAATTATGCAGACGAAATATCATTTTTCAGGTCTTTCGGGAACCTATTTCCTCACAGGAATTTTAGGTGTAATGGATTACCACTTAATGCTGTATCAAGTCACTTCAATTTTGCTGAGTCAGCACCTAAAGTAGACACAAAACTTTGATATACTAGATTTGTTGGATCAAATAAAATTTGCTGTCATGAATTTGAAACAATCACAGTTTGGATAACAAGGGGGAAGTAATCTGTTAGTTAATGCAAGCAAACCATTTCCCATTATGTAATATAATTTACATAGATTATAATTATTAAAAAAATAAAAAAAAATAAAAAAGAGAATCCTGTGTAGTATGTTCTTTTTTGTTAATGAATACCAGGATTTCCTTCATCGTACAATGTCTGATACTTTTTGTTCTTTTAAGATGACAGACAGGTAAATCCCAGTGTGATACAAAACAGACTTTGACTCATTACTGCTGGAAAAAGGAAATATCTTTAAATTTCAAAGTTACATGCTCTAGTCACTTTGGGATGTTTATTAGCTCTTCTCAGAAAAAAAACCCCAAACCAAACAATCCTCAAAGAAAAAAAACAACAAACAAAAAAATATCAATCAAGACACAACACTACAAGAATAGTGCTATTATAGTATGTAAAAACCTCCATGCCAAGACTCTATTTATCTCAAAATAAAAGCACAATCTTATGTGCTCTATTTTTGCCTATGTCTGGAAAAAATATGCATGGGTCATCCAAAGCAAAACTTTACATTTTACTGGTACTATTTCTGGGTGCACTTTTTCCAGCGTAAAATTCACTGCTAGGATTCAGACATTCTTTGATTTTGAATGCAATTCATGTTCTGTGCCTCAGTTCAACAGTTGCAGTATTTTCTCTTGATTTTTCTTCAAGAATATGTCACTGGAATGTGGTCACCTTGTACTTCACTTTTTGAAGCTATTAGATTTGCCAAATCCATAAACTAAAAGAATTCAAATGGTTTAATAATGAAGTTATCGTAAAAGTTTGAGGATGCATGACATTTGCAAACATACTGATAGCAATAAATATACCTAAAGCTCATTACTTAAAATACTAATCTAGCACTTTCCTTTTCCATCAGTTGTACAAATCAATTTTCAGATTTTCTTCAACTGAGACATGGAGTTCAAATCAGGTCCAGTATCAACATATTTCTTTTCTGCTGATTTAAACATAAAAACTAAACTTCCAAAAATCTCCTTATGGCATTTTATTTTTAATTACAAAGACAGAGGACTGAATTTGCAACTTTCAGTCAGGAATTTCTCCTAATTTATCTGACTAAAGAATGTAAAATAAGGTTTCTACTCCCCCACAGTCTCCATCTGGATGGTAATTTTAGCCTTTAACAACAACTATTATTGCATCAAGCTTTCATTTTCCATTAGAAGGTCAAACTCATAACTGGAATTAGCAACGAATGTCAATTTTATTTAAGTACTTTTAATAGTGATTACCATTAAAAAGGCAGAACTCATTTGCAAAATATAGCTACACTTGCACAGTATAGACAAAACCAAAAATCAAAAGCTGATGTGAAATAAATTTAGAAGAATGTTTTAGTCAGAAAATTAATCATGGTTTTTTGTTTCTAAAAGTGAAAACTTATATTTAAGACAGATAAAAATTATAATTAGGATGAAAACTAGCAAATTCAAAATGAAATAATCATGCATTCATAAGGAAGAAACAGTTTACCATCTACCTACAGGACAGTGGTATTTAGAGACTTACAATGAGTGCACATGAAATCTGGGAAGATGACAAACTACAGAGAGATTTAAATCCTTTTAATTTTTTTTTTAAACTAGCCAAGAGTCACTTTTTACTGTTAATCATGTGACTCTGTTCTGCAATACAAATGTGAATTTACAATATATGATGCATATTCAATCCTGTAAGACTTAGCTCTAAACAGTCCCAATAGAGTCGCGTTCGGGGAAGGAGTGTAGAATATCACTGAAACAATTGTGACAAATGCAGGGCCAACGCCACTAATCTTATCAATTGAAACAGATTTGATGATCTTTCTAAGGTTTATTTGGGAAATCAAAAATAGAAGAATTGTTATCACAAAACTCCAAACCTGGATTTATAATAAATAAAAATTAAGATTATAAACATAACAAGTTAATGCTAGTTTTTGATGAAACTATTGTTTCCACTTTTGATTTTGATGACAGTATCATTTAACGCTAAATATAGTTTTTTCAGTTAATAGTTTTGGTTTTCCTTTTTTTAGCTTTTAAAGAAGGTCTGTTTAAAATCCTACTAGCATTGACTTATTAAAATTGTGCAATGCTCCACTTTTGCTGATGCTTCCTTCTACTCATGAAAACTTGCATAAGTTATTCTGATTTAGAGAAGCTAAAATCCTGAAAACCAGATTTTTCTCATGCACAGGTCCACTTGATACACCAATTTAGCTTTCCCACTTGGCAAAAACCTTGTGAGTACTTTGACCATACGGAAAACAACATTTATACATATATATCACTGCAAAGATCCAAGATTGTAAATGGCAGCGAAGAAAGTGGAATATACAGCATGTCAATAATAGAAAGTGAATCATATTCCATTATTAAAAGATAAAAAATAATGAACTCACAAATAGTCCCTTTAAAAGTCCCATTAGTAGAAGTAATAACTGTACTTAAGAAGCAAGTCTTTAGCCTTACCCAATAGGCCTTGAAACAATAATTTCAACTTGAGGTTCTGATTTTGATTCTAAAATAATGTTGTAAACTTCTTCATTTGTAGCTCCAGGCAAGGGTTTACCATTCCATTCTAGAACTTCGTCCCCTTGAATTTAAAAAGAAGTTTATCTCATTTCCATATTCTTTTACAAAGACATGCAAAACATTTATGAAATCTATATAACCAAGTAACGTTGCCCAAAATCAATTAAAAAGCTGTGCTGAAACCCAAAAAAGGTTTCTGAGAAACTATGAAGGCTCCTTTCTCAGAACACAGCTACAATTCGTACACACAAAACATACTAAAGAAACCACTTGTGGAAACATATTAAGTATTTCCAAAATAATACAGGACTTGTTATTGCGCTATGAAATGAAAGAGTCTTTTTAAAAAAATCTTTTATTAACTACCAGTTAATAAGCTTTGAAAACAGCTTAATCTTCAAAAATGAAAAATATAAATACCTACTGTTAAGCCTTTAAAAATCCTGACATTTATTACAATTTATACACTGTGCATTCAATTTCTCTACAAAAAGGACAGTCTTCATTGTCTGTGTCAAACGAACCAAAAAGAAAAGCAAGGAATGAGTCACTATCCCCTGAGGATGTTAGAGGGCACAGAAAGGAAAACATGATGTAAAAGTTATTTAAACTTTCTTTTTTCAGCTTGCTATTTCTGGAATTTAAATAGTATGTATGTTACACTGTATTTTGGCCTTATTATAAAAAGGTGAAAACCTTGAAGGGTAGTTTCTAAAGAAAGATCAGTATATACAACTGAACTGCAGGAACCATAGGGTAAGTTTACACTCTTGTACTCCATCATATGCAGCAGCCAAAACTTCACAACCACTATCTGATGCCACAAGTAACTAATTTTATGGACAATGATTTTATGTTTATCAGATTCAGTCAGGAAAAACCCTTCAGCTGCTGGGTTTGCTCCTTTCTGAGGAGATCTAAGCCAAATGATCAAACTTGCGCTTGTTAATAAGCCAAGGAAAAACTGAAGTCCTTTTTCCCAAACAGCCTGTTATTTTGGTATTTTAAGAAAGGACTCTACAGAGTATTCCACTGGCTTTCAAAGCTTTTTGGCATTCTTTAAAACTTGAGGGCTTGCTAAAGACAGACTTAATAAATGCTTGCTGGCCTAAGTTTAATTTTCTACCACATTGTTTAGCTGAAACAGTTTTAAATATTTCATATATTTATTACATAATCTTATGTCATGGGGAACAGGAATTAGATATTGCCTAGGAACTTCATTTAAAATTTATACAACTCGGTAAAAACACACCCAGTTTCTTCTGTAATACTGACTGTATTTTAAAGCTAACAACTGTTTTAAACTAACATGTTTTTTCCCTAAAATATAATCTATTTCTTTAGAGATAGTTGGCTTAATTTACAAAAGCATCCCAGGCCTTAAAAGGAACAAGATGTGGCCAGCTTTGCAATAGTTATAACTTAATAGCAAAACCCAACTGGTACATATGCTACATTTGTAACACTTAAAATCACAATTTAAATGTCATTTACACAGCAATGATCTATCACATTTTGAAGACAAAATAGGTGCAACATGGTTGAGAATCCTGAAGAGGAACATGGAAGTGCCTGTATCGCAATTTTAGAGGACTTAAGCAGCTTTTTTACTTTTGAGAGTCAGTAAGAGATCAAACAAGTAAAAAAAAGAATTGCCAGGATGACTAAACGTAAGTTCATCGTAGTCAGAATGCTAAATTAACAGATGTGACTCCAATTACTCTTCCTGAAAACTAGATCCAAACGGAGATTTGAGTGAAGTGACACTTCTGCTAGTTCTAACCAGATCACCACCACCCATCTTTTGCTCAGCTTGTCGAGTTATCTTTTTGACCAGCCAAGCCCTTTTAAATTGTCTCCTTCATCTAATGTTTATAAGGCTTACATTCTGATTTCTGCTGTCAGTAATAGGCATGGAAACAGGAAAACATCATTCAGATATTCAAAACTTGGACATAAGCAAAACCCAACTGGACACGGTCCTGTGCAACCTGCTCTAGCTGACCCTGCTTTAGCAGTGGGGCCGGACTAGAGATCTCAAGAGGTCGTACCCACCTCAACCATTCTATGATCCTGTGATACACTGCTACAAATTCAGGTGAGAAACTCTCCGGTCTTAAGTCCCACTGTAGTAGCACAGAGTTGCAAGTCAGTCACTCAAGGAGCTGTTAGACACCTTACACTGTAGATGTTTAGGATAGCCAAGATATCTGCACAAAGCTGGCTGGTGGAACCTACAGGACACCTACACCCTTATGGAGCCACTTCTGCTGGTGGGGCATATATCCCAGGGTATCTAAGATGCCTCTAGAAAGGAATATTAATGCATCTTGCATTCTGCCCCCACTTACTGATGCATGTTCAGCAGAGATGGAAAGTTTTCAGACTTACGCTGCAAATCTCTGATAGCTTTTATATTGATTTCTAAAAGAGTAATTCAGATTGGGAGATACCTCTGGGGGTCAGCTAGTTCCAACCTCTACTCAAAGTAGGGCCAACATCAAAGGATAGACCAGGTTGCTCAGAGATTTCACCAGATGAGATTTGGGTATCTCAAAGGAAGAATATGCAACATCTCTTCTGGGTAACCTGTTCTAAGCCTCAACTATCCTCTCTAGATACAAAAAAAAGATTTTCACAAACAGGATCTCACTCATTCCAGCTTGTGCACATTGCTTCTTTGGTGATCAGTGTGCACTTCTGAGAACAGTCCAGCTCTGGGTTCTCTACAGCCTCCCATTAGACAGGTAAAAACAAGAATTAGACCCTCCTATAGTCTTTTCTTTGCCAGCCTGAGCAAACCCACTTCTCTCAGCTTCTCATACATGATATGCTCCAGACCCGTAATCAACTTTCTGTCCCTCTGCCCAACCTGGTCCAGTTTGACAGTATCTCTTTTGTACTAGAGGAACCCAAACTGGACACAGTACTCCAGATACAGCCCCATAAGCACCCAACAGAGAGCAACAACCACCTCTCTCAACCTGCTGGCAACAGTCCTCCTAATACAGCCCTGTACATGACTGGTGTTTGCTGCAAGGCGCTTTGCTGACTCACGTTCATCTTCTTGTCCTCCAGCACCTCCAGACACTTTTCTGCCAAGCTGCTTTCTAGCTGATTGGCTCCTAGTGTTTACTGTTGCACTGGGTTATTCTGTTCCTGATGCAGGACTTCCTATTTGCCTTTGTTAAAATTTATGAGGTTTGTACAATTACTCAAAGATTTACCAACTAGCTAAATTTTGGAGGTTTTTCATAAAGACGAAAAAGCATGTTTTCCTAATGGCAAGGACTCATTCAGGCCTTTTTTTGTGTTTTACTGCCATACAATAAGGATGAATAGACTTTCATTCATTGAAAATATGCACAAAACAATGTCTTTTTTTTCCTGTGAAATTATTTTGGCTAAAAATATTTTTACAAAATAAAAATAGCTTTGACTTAAAACACAACCTAGACCAAACATTAGAAATGTAATATTTCAGCCCAAATAGTTCAAGATTAGCAGAAAGAAACTTATTTTCTATACTTATAATCTGCAATTAAAATCTATAAACAACTATAATAAGTGGTGCTATCAATCCGATGTATATTGACTTGGTAAAAAAAATATTAACAAATGCCAAAACGAAGTAGGGTATTTTTAGAGACTCATCTTTTCTACTTCTGTATTACTATTTTCTTCAAGCAATTATCCTAAAATCATACAAGTTGTCATCGCAGCTTCTGGATTCCTAAGAAGGCATTGCATAGACTTTGGTTTGCCAGGACAACACTTGGAAAGTAGTTGCTTAGAGCCACGGTAAAAATATAAACCGCTAAGAAGTAACTTTGAAAACCAACTGTTGTGCATAGTTCTCGCTTCATTTAGAAGCTTGAAATATGCCAACAGCACAGACACTTATTTTTAAGTGCAATATATACATCTTATATAAATGAAATATTTTAAGACCATTTTCTTGAGTTGTTTTCCATTTTTATTTGTAACAATTCACATTGAAAGAAGCACTAATAAAGACCATTGTGTACACAGTGCATCATCCTTCAGGTGACAGTATAGAGCAAGTAAAGTAACTGCAGTGAGCTTTGTTTGCCACAATGAAACAGTTTTAAAAAAACATTTGCATTGCTTCTGTAGAGTGTAACAAGCAGCTCCTGAGCTAGCAAGCAAAAAGTTACCCGTGACACTCAGTCCTGACACCAGCACTGATGAGGAGTGTCTTGTATTTTGCTCATACATCCAAGCAACTGGAGTTAATAATAAATTAGAAATGTAGGCAGCTGTGGCATTCCATAACAACATTACGGTATCATCCTGTATTTAAAAAATATTAGCATATCACACAACCAATGTTAATATAAATTAACAGCCGCATTACAAAAAGCCGAAATTAGAAGGCAATATATTTTATATGCAACTAATTGATTTACCTGCTCTGAGATGCCCCACCACATCAGCCAAGCTACCTTTCTTCACTTTGGTAATGAAGGCACCGAGTCGTCCTAATTCTGTCATTTTTCCTCCAACAACCTGGTTAATCATAAATTTGTGAGTTTACAAGCCACAAACCAGACATCATATCAGGCATAAATATATGGACATATCAGTTTTCACATTATTTTTAAAATTAAACCTAACATATGCATAAGCAAATCTATTGTCAATTTGGGCTTTACAGAGGCTTAAGGACAAAGGTAAAGATACAAAAAGGCCAGATCTACTTGAAAAGAAGTACAGCTGACACAGAATGTATAAAATTGATATTCCTTTTGATGTGTTCGAGTAATCAATCTTATGCAGTTTGCTAAGTATCTAAATTTGTTGCAGAAAGAACGTTTCTTAATAAATAACAAAGAAAATGTACCTTTTGCAAATAGATGTCTGTCACATGCTTACGTTTAAATTGCAAGTACACATCAAATCAAATGTATGAAAATCCCAAAATGCAATTGGTACAACAATTAAAAACTTAGCAAATACACTACTATGGAAGATGGGCAAACAGTTCAGAAGAACATTGCTATTGCTAAACCCCAGTCCCCCTCATCCAAGCACATGACAGGACAGAAGAGCAGCTTCTGGCTTTTGGTAACAGAACTGAACAGAGCTATTTTTGAAGATGACTGCATGATACAGAGATCAGGAAAATCAGAACAAAAGGTGCCCTCAAGAGATAAGATTTTTAATAAAATATTAACCAAGAAAATGTAATCTTGCTGACTTGCTATTCTCTTTAGCTTCCTTACTCTCTCCAGCCAGGTTGGGTTTTTTTGTCAGGAATATCCTGGGAGAAGTTTTATAATAAAAGGGAACAGCGGAACGCTAGTTCATTAGGTATTATTTCCCTATGTTGCAATCACAATAACTGGTAGGAGCTTTAATATAGATACATCTCCATGAAAATCGAGGAGCCTACCTGCCAACAAGGTTGTCACAAGATAATAAGTCAAATTTGCCAGTGGGGGCCTTAGCTCATATCATACAACATTGAAACACGAAAAATCAAAAAGAAGCTCTCCAATCTACATTTCCTACTAGGACCAACCTTTTTTCTCACATATTAAAAAATTTGCTTGCTTTCAGCAAAAATCAGCCTTGTGCTACAGGCTGCTAGACATCTAGTAGAGTGAAGCTGTTCTCATCTTCTGTACTCCCACGCCACGCTATCTCATTTCAAGGTGGATAAATGGCCCTTACTCAGGACATGCCATTATCAAGTTCACAAGGTTCTTTCCTGATTTAATTCCCACCATGATGAGCAGAACTGACAACCCACATCTCCATCACATGTGAGGGATTGAACTATCAGAAAACTAAACGCAAGGAGCGGTTCAGTGTCAGTGCCCTTTGAAGTAGACTCAGTCCTAAGTGGATGGGAATATTTCATATTTTGCACCGTTTCTGCTGCACTCAGTGGGGACAGGAAGACACCCAAATTAAATTCTCTCAGTCATCTTTGGAGCTCCATATAGTTAAAAATATACCTTGAGAGAGAAATTCTTGAACTAGCACACTGTACTCCCCACCAGCTTCAGAAAGAGCACTCTCTCTCTTTTAAGCATTCCGGCAACATAGGGACATGAACCTGAAAGTCCGCTACAAATTACTTATTTAGGGATTTAAATCAACTGGACAGTGTTGCCAATGTCTTAATTTTTGAGGCACCAGTTTAACTGGAATTACATTTCGTATAATCTCTACTAGGCTTTAAGGGGTTTTTTTGCAAATTTTTGTGTAAATGTTTAGTTTCATTCTACAAAATTTCTGTTCCGAATGGCTGTGTGGATTTTAAACACTGACCTTATAAACATTTGCATCCGGATGACATTTATGCATGTGGATTATGAGATGAATTACTTGACTGAAATGCAAACAGTAGAGCTAGAAAAGGGAGGACTCCACTAGTGCATTGCAACGTGCAGTATATGTCTTGCAGACAAGAAGCTAAATGAACGGACACTTATTAAACAGAACGGTTCAGCTCCTTTGCCATGCATGAGTGGAAGACTGCACAGCATGATTAAATACATTTACATTCATAATTTTTCTGTATAACTTTCAAAACTTAATAAAAATGAGGAATACATTTTTGTCAAATGACCATATAATTGGAGAGTCCTCTGATTTAATGTGTTGGACCTCTAGGTCTAAGGTCAGTGGAAGTTTCTTTCATTTACCACATAAACCATGTAATACTTACTTTTAGCCCCAGTAATGCACCTGATTCTTTTGGCATGGTTGTTCTCTTGTTAAGAATAACACGCCCAATTAAGCGATCTCCCTCTTTAGAAGGCTGCCACGTTACAGGATGCTGTTAAAAAAACAAGCAGTGGAATTCAAGAAGTGCAACCATCTTCCTGTATTTAGATGCACATTTATAAACCAATAAAATCTCTGGATCATTATGTCACAGTAGACACAAACATCCTTCAGATGTGTTACATATTGCACTCAAGCTTCTATTATTATATCTGTTGGACTCTGGCTTCATTAAATATTTATGTCCACTGTAAAAAAAATATCAGCACTAAGTCTGCAGGTAGAATTATAATACAATTCAAAATTCAATACGTTTAAACATTTGAAACATTTAAAACAAAATAAACATTTATTACCTTAGGTAATAATATTAAACATTTACTTTTAAATTCCATGACCCTGCAAAGCACATTCATAAATTCTCTTCTTTAGAATAATATACATGTTATACAGCTCTACTACATGGGTTCACTACATAATAAAAATCCAAATGATCCTTTCCCAGTCCAAGTCATTAGAAAAAGTCACTAATCTTTCCCAGAGCAGCATCACACTCACAGCTGCTTTTGTGGTGCGTAGTGAAATCTAGTGTCATGTCTATAAAAGAATTAAATTCAAGTTAAAATTCAGGCAATTTTACCAGTGTACATTTTAATGAAAATTTCTTTCTGATTTCAATTTCCATGATCCACTAAACCAAATTTTCATGTAATTTGTATAGAATAATTTTTTACAACAAAATATCTATGCTGAACTGAAATAATCAGCAAACATTTTAATTCATACTTATGAACCTCTTTTTTCCTATTTCTTACCGAACTAATAGGGGATGTCTCCCTGCTGTGCCACGTGGCAGGATCCAGCCAGTAATAATCCAAGTCACCTGGAAGAATATGAGTAGAAAGGAATGTGTAATCTCTCAAACAGAGAAATATGTATGAATGATTACTTCTGCATACATTAATTTTAATGTGCAATAGTTTGATGAAGCAAATACAAAACCTGCATTATGATTCAAATTAACTTATATCAATTTGAAAACAATATGGCCTAATAACATAAAAACAAAAAACACATAATAATGCATTTATTTGGACCTCTGCTTTTTCACGAATTGCACCTCAGAATTGCTTGTGCACTCCAGCTGGTTTTTACTTTGCCCATTCACCTTCCAAGAACGGACCCCAACGCATCTCGTTCGCAGCCCTCCTCCTCCCCCTACCTCCATAACAAACACACAGGACTACAGCTAACGATGACACAAGAGAGAATACTCCACAAAATAGGCACTTAGCTATAGTTAAGGACAGAACAGTCAACCACACTCAGAAATCTGCAAAGTAGTTGATCAGTACTGTGACAACGGGTACTGTACAGATGGAGAGGCACAGGAGCTGGTTAAGGGTAAGAGAGCACCAAAGAAAACAGCCACACAAATAGAGCAAATAGTACCAACAGCAGATACGAGGTTGCAATCTTTCATTTTGATTGGGACAAACTTATATCCTATGTACGTCAAGAATAAACCCATGAATTACAGTGGTCTGGAAGCCATGAGCCAAGAAGAAAAGGCAGCAGAGCGTAACACCACAGAGAGTATATACGAATTTATGGAAAGCTATGGAAACCAACAGTTTGACTGAATATATTACAGCTGTAGAAGGCTGGAGTCGGTAGCAAAAAAACTACCAACTTCACTGGCAGTTGTCTGTGATGGAGGACTGATGGAACTGTGCACTCCAAGGAAGAAAAGGACGAGGCAGGAATTGCAAGAGGAAGAATATCAGGGAGTGCAATTCAGAGCACAATTTTCTTTACAAAGAAGAAGGGTGCAGGTGATACTGGGAAGGACATAGGAGAATGATGCAGGCTAGAATAGATCCAACAGAAGGCTAAATGTGAGACTGATACAGCAGGAACAATTCTGAAGGATTTCAGTGCTAGCACTAGTTTTAAACAGAATATAACTGTGAGCTCTGAACCTTGGTGTTATTTCATCCCTTTGGGCATTGCCACAGCGCATTAACAAAAATGCAATAGTGTCCTTAGAAATGAGAACGACAACTCTTGTTGTCTCTTGCAATAGCAGTAGTATGTAAAAGCTTGATCTGAAATAACCAACAGATATTTTTGAATTTTATCTGAGAAAAAGTAGATGATTCTGCCGTTTACCTTACAATCCCTTTAAACACACAAACAAAAAAACCCCCCGCCAAACCAAAATCTAAACTATCACTTCAGAGGTTAGTTTTAGACCCTGAAGGAAATACAGACACCTCTCACTGAGGTTTATATCCATACCTGCACTTCAGGCATTTTTCACCCTCACTTTGGCAGAGAACCTTGGTCATTTGAAACATGTTAGTGGAACAGTTTGATAATACTGCTTTTTGAATTCACAAGTAATTTTTTTTTCCCCTAAGTCTTTAAATTATTATGTCCCAGCATTAGTTTTCATTACAGAACAACTCTTCATACGCTTTCCTAGGAACATCCCTACAAACTCTTTACGGATCATTTAAAAACCAGTGGGTAAAAATCCTACTTTATCATTAAAGTCAGATACTGATTGACAATACCCTCTGCACTCTTGATATGCTCTATGTCTTCAGAAAACATATTTTATTTATTATGTACACTTTAGGCAATACATCTTCACTGTCTTATCTTATAAAACACATCTCTATAATACTACTGTTAAATCAATACTCTTACTAGCACACAGGCATCCACAACAGGACCCCAAACAAAGCATGCGTCTAGCAAGAAAAAAAAAACACATTTATATGAAGAGTTTATTATTTTTTACTCTTTTTTGACAAATCTTTAGATGCTGATTATGAAATACAAGTTGTATCACTCTTTATAATCCGTAAAATCTTTAATTGTTTACCATCTACATGATCATGTGCACAAGCTTATTTTTAAACAGCTAATGATCATACGCATAACCACATGAGGCAGTTTGCGGTTGCATTAGCTACTGAAGTTCTGCAATTTTGGAGAGCTTAACTTCACATTAAAGATCTTTCAGTTTTATTTTTAGCAATGTTCCTTGCACCTTTATAGACTTCAAAATGGCAACAAGAACAACAACAAATCCACGAACCAGACTGCCACCCCAAGTGCTGGCAGTAAGCTGGGACCTGTGGTGCAGAGCTCTCCCATTTTCAGTAATGGACTCAACAATAGCACCAAAAAGCAACTCTCTCTTGCGTGAGCTGGCCTGCCACAGGCAAAATACAACACACTTTGCCTCCATGTTTCACAGCTATTTGCTCAGCAATAGAGAAATGTTCAGGCAGGAATAAATGCCAGCTCCGGCACGCAGATGTGTGTGTCCAAGTGCTCAAAAACATTTCTGCTCTTGTCTCCATTGCTCCCTGGTCTTTTCCCCTTTCTTCCTTCCCCAGTGTCGTGGTTTAACCCCAGCCAGCAACTAAGCCACTCACTCACTCCCCCCCCATCCAGTGGGATGGGGGAGAAAATCGGGAAAAGAAGTAAAACTCCTGGGTTGAGATAAGAACGGTTTAATAGAACAGAAAAGAAGAAACTAATAATGATAATGATAACACTAATAAAATGACAACAGTAGTAATAAAAGGATTGAAATGCACAAACGATGCGCAGGGCAATTGCTCACCACCTGCCGACCGACACCCAGCCAGTCCCCGAGGGGCGATTCCCTGCCCCCCCACTTCCCAGTTCCTAAACTAGATGGGACGTCCCATGGTATGGAATACACTGTTGGCCAGTTTGGGTCAGGTGCCCTGGCTGGGCATGAGAAGCTGAAAAATCCTTGACTATAGTCTAAACACTACTGAGCAACAACTGCAAACATCAGTGTTATCAACATTCTTCACATACTGAACTCAAAACACAGCACTGTACCAGCTACTAGGAAGACAGTTAACTACATCCCAGCTGAAACCAGGACACCCAGCTTCAGCTTCTGGGTCCCAGTTACCCTGCTGCTCTTCCTCCTGGTTATTGCATATCCATGACCACTTGATTCATGCACCTAGCGTCCTTCCCCACCAAGTTCCTGCTGTAACCAGATCCTCTCATACGTCTTCTGCTTGGCTAACCTGCTAATTTTCCCATCCTCACCAACTACCTACCCTTCGCTGCCTTTCTTCCCCGTCCATTTTGTTGTAATCATCTATCTTCTGTCTCCTTCTGCTTCTGGCTTTGGTGTCCTTTCTTTAGATTGTGTATTTTAATCCCTCCTTCCCCTCACACCCCTCAGTACTAAGCTCCATCCTCGCTATCCGCTCCTCCCCGCACCTTTAGCTTTCTGTCCCTTTCACCCCTCTTGTCTGTTCTGCGCTTTGGTAAATTCCAAGCCATCAGCTACATCCACCGCGGCCGGCCACGGCCATGGTCCTTTTGCCCTCTGCTCTCAGAAGGTGAGAGCAGGAATCGCACGGCTAACGCGGCTCTACTGAGCTGGAGCACAGGTGATACGCTGGGAAGGCATAAAGGCAGCCATCAAATCAAAAACCTTGACTGAAAGTGATAGGTCTACAATTTGGTGAACATTTTTAAAGCTGCAAAAATGCATGAATTGGGGAGAAGAGAGTCCACATTCTTGAAAAATGACTTCATTTTTCATTCCTATTAAAAATTCAGTATGAAATAGACCATTAGCATGCAAACTTTTGGTTGAATCTACAACTGTAAAAAGGGTTTTACAATGGAAAACGTCAGTTAATCTACATTTATAAACACTCATAGAGTAGAACACCCAAATTAAAACATAAAGGAACAAAATCCCCAAATGAGCTTAAAACATATTTTATGCCAGCAACACTGACACTAGCATCTTGACATCTGCAGTTCAGTACTCTTTTACAGCTATATTTTAACAATAATTTCTCCTTGATCATGCTATGTCATTGCTGCATCTTTACTTAATACTTATTTATGCCATTCTTGCACTGCTATACCCTAGAACTGGCTATTTGTTTAATTACACAAAATAATTTCACTGAACTAGTATTACAGAGAACCAGGAACAGGTAAGTAACATGAGAAAACTTACCATCTAAGACCACAGTTTCAGAGTTTCAGACTTTGTCAAAAAAACCCCCACCAAAACTCAAAACAAAAAACACTATACACGGAGTACTCTCTCCACTGGTAAAAGTTACTAAAAATAACTAGTAAAATAAGACAAATTTAAGACATTGTGGAGAGGCAAAACCTACTTTTCTAAGGAGCAAATAATTGATTTACAGGCTTAAACTGTTTTTAAACACTTTTTAAACAATGCTTTAAATTTAAAAACATGAAAAACTTAAAAATAATAAGCCCCTATGAAAATATACATATCCTGTACCATTATTTTTGTACATTACTGATATGTTTAGAACTGATGTTCTAAAACACACAAAAGTGTATTTCAACTTAAAACATATTATTAAAAATGCATTTGCAGTTATGATACATGATTTACTTAAGACCAATGGAGTGAAGTATATTATTTATAGAACCTTCTTTCCTGAGGGAATAATTCAAAAGTTGTATCCTTCCAGCAATGAAATATTTTTCCTATTAACATGCTGCTGCTTGATTACTTTACTTTCGGACACAGATGAATATAATCATAAATCTACTTTACAAGACACAAATGTGTTGAGGTTTTTTTTCCGTGAGAAGTCTTTTGCAGTCTTCAATCAAATTCCAAGACAGGGAGTAAAACTCTTAATAAATTGCTGTTGTTTTTATATCCGCAACATGCGTGCCTTCAAAATGAAGGGAAAGCAAAACTCACAACACCAAAAAAAAAAATTTCTCTAAAATACTTCATCTTCAGCAGCACTACCCATACCAAAAGCTAATGCTGGGATACTGTGATTTCGAGTGAGATCCTGCAAAGCT